TATAAACAAAACACGTTGTTTAACTTTCATTAGCCAAGAATTATAAACATTAAACAATCATTAATTTGGATACGTCTTTGTTAATTAATATAAAATAATTAATTATTAAGTTTATATGGACTTATCTCTATTAATTATGTAATCAAACATATTAAGAATTAGGAATTTTATCATTGTTTCAATCCAATTATCCTCATCAAAAATTGCTTAATTAATAATCACAATTATTGTTACTGCGTTTACATAGAGTTAGTTGGAACGGTAAAACTATCCGAAAAATAAACTGAATTCTCATCTTATAATTATGTAATCAAACATGTTAAGAATTAGGAATTTTATCATTGTTTCAATCCAATTCTTATCCTCATCAAAAATTGCTTAATTAATAATCACAATTATTGTTACTGCGTTTACATAGTTAGTTGTAACGGTAAAACTATCCGAAAAATAAACTGAAATCTCATCTTAATTAATTCCATGATATTATGTAAATGCAGATTATCATTATAAAAAAATCTGTAAAATTCATTTTAAGTAATTTCTATAAATTATTTCTACAAGAATTTAATTACTCTCGATTTTAATTAATATTGATTGAGAGAAGATACCTGAGTATAGAAAAAGAAGAGGAAACATATTTATTGCCACCACGATTAGAAAGTCCAATTAAAATTATCATGGAAGTAACATTAAAAGATTTGTCATGGAAGAAAAAGAAATGATTCTCTTATATTTTATTGAATAATAGAAAATTTGTTAATGAATATATATATACTAGAAAAAAAGGTAATGATAGATGCATATTATATAATGGAAATATCTAATTAATATGAAGCGTTCAGTAACATGAGATGTGTCTACATATTAGATACCGCTTAAAGAATTTTGTAGCACATATATTTGTAATTAATACTCCTTCTCGAGCCTAAGGTTCAAGGTCTACGAATATTACATAATTCAACTTGACTTTAAATCTTATTAAAGAACTATTCATAAAATATTCTATTTACTTTTGTTTGCAAGAAGTTACACCAAAATTCTTGCACTATTACATGAGTAATCCAACAAGTATTATTCGTTTAATTCAATAAGTATTGTAAAGAAAACAAGCTTATATATAAATTTCCTTTTCACTTTACTCCAAATACGTGTACTAATCTAATCAGTTTGTTACGAATAAATTATTACTTTTAGAAAATTGAGAATATTGGACATAGAGGAATATTGTACTATAGTCATTAAATAACCAATTAGCTATGTTAATTATTTCGTCATTAAGATTTTAATATGTTTACGTTAAAGAAGGTTTCTTTTTCTTACTCATCAAAAACATTCATTGTAATAACCATCAACAAGAAATTTATGCGCTTCATATTTTGTAAACAACGTTGTAACATTTCATGGAAACTAAGACAATTCATAGATTTCACTTCACATTTCTACAAATATATAGCATTTATCAATACTCTCTACAATAGATTTTCATTGAAAATACTAACATATTTGAATGAATTTCCACAATTGTATACAATGTGATCTTGTGAATAGTTTAGACAGTGAAATTGTGAAAATATAAATTGAAAATGCGAATAGCTGAGGATTTATAAATATATAAGGAAATGGACTTTCTATTAATAAAGGGAAATCTATTTAGAAAACTTATCACATTCAAATCGGTTTCTATAAATTGTTAGGAAAGTAAAGTTGATAAAGGTTAGGTTGAAAGTAATTAGTAAAGTTTATTTTGAATATTAGAATGTATTTCAATGAACTGGAATATATTTTATACTGATTTTTGTGTAATTAAATTATATGTTTTAATTTAATAAATGCTTGAATTTGTAAATGTTTTCTTTAACGATTGTATTGCAATAACGGTGTTTACTGCAGGTCAACTGTGTAATACAATGTGTTGTTGTACTAGAATCATTGACGTTTATAAAATTGATTACGTTGAAGTTTGCTAGAATGACTATACTGAACATATAATAGTATAGTAGTTCGATGTGTAGTATATATTGGAAGTTAAGAGAATGATCGTTGCGTAGTCCAATTTACAGTTGTGGTAGAGCAGAGGTTCGGTTTTAGAAAGAGGCAGGTCGATTTTTATGTGCCGAAGGTGACCCGAAATGCTCGAAGTACATGCACACAATGAGCCGCAATTGCTGTGGGTATAATGATCTTTAATAAAGTAGGTAGCTGGAAACTGGATTTTTTTTTAAATCCCCAAGCATTTAACCCCGCGACCCGCGCTCTGGAAATGGTACCACATTTACACCAGGAAGAAGTTGCATAAAAATTATGTATGTATAACAAGTGCGCATTCAAATTAGAAACTGGCGTGTACAAGTCGTTATACTTGTTCTCGAAAAAGTACATGTGTCGCAGTAAATCATAATGTTAGTAAATACCAGGAAAACAATTGCTCTAAAGAGGAAGGTATGAAAGACAGAGAGAGAAGACAAGATTTTTAAGAAAAATATAATAAAAAAAACGAATAAGGAGACAAGTAACATAACGCCAACAATAACAACGGAGAAGTAATAATAGTGATGATGATAATGATAATAATAACAATAATAAGTGGAAGAAATGCGAACGGCAGTTTTCGGTGCCTTGTCTTTATTTATATTATATTTTTTTATGGTTAGATGGTCATAACGCCAAAATTACGATCCGGGCAGCGCCAACAATGAGAAGATGGAAATAAAAGAGAATCAATAATGTTTTTACGGTCGTGGGTCCCGGTGATAATAGTTGAAATAAATAAGAGGAAAAATTGTTCCAATTCGACTTTTATAGCCGCGAGCGCATGGGCATTTACATAAAGAACGAATTCGGTTTAGGTCTTATGGAAAATTTTACCCTAAAATATATTCGTTCCGTGATCACGATTACGATCCCGGACGACACAAACAGCCGCTTTATAAAGACTGTCACAAAACTGGTTTCCGTATGAAGAGAAGCGAGGAAAAGGAAGGAAAGACGATGGAGAAGAAGAAGATGATGAAGAAGAAGACGACAACAAGCAGAACAAAACGAAAAAGGACCGAGAGGAGAACAACAAACAACGGCGGAGAACACAGAATAACGCGCGGGTCCATCGAAAGGGGGAGGAGAAGAAGATCGGATAGGTAGGACAGCATCGGGGACAACGAAATGAGGTTCTTATTGGATTCCTCTTTACGCGAGGCCTAAGAGGAATTAATTAGAGACATCAATTATTTATATTAAAATTGTAATACAGCGAGCGTCTTCAGGACGTTACGCAGTCCGATGGGTTTTCAATGATAATGTTGGTTGTTATTTTATTTTCTGTTCTTTTTTTTGTGCAATGCGCAGTGGTTGTTGTTGTTTGTTGTTGATATTCTCTCTCGCGTTGTTTCTCACACGCACGCACGCACTCTGCACACATGGCCAACCCTTTTTGCGATGTAATATTTATGCAGGTTGACCGAAGGCATAACCGGTCAGGGCCACGAAGAAAGGATGAGCATGGTCCCCTTTTGTCATCCTGAAAGGAAACGGACCCTTCAAAGTAGCGCGTAGAAAATTCACTTGACCATCCATCCATATATCGGGCGAGCGAATCCTTTTTCGGCCCACCCCAGTTATCTTCGACGGGCTGGGGCCAGTCGTGGGAAAGGGTGCTTCCACGTTTAAAGTGACCCTTGCGTTAGCGGATTTGACCCTTGGCCCGCCAACCCTTAACGGACTGACCAGAACTGGACATACTAGTTTCTGGTGACACATGCTACACATCATTCGCCGTGAGAACTGCGAAAAGACGTCCAAGACATGTGCGCCCGTTGTTTCGCTGCCCAACCGCTCCGGAAGCGCTGCCCATGCCCATTTTCCCCGTCCCATACCCATATCCATGGGTTCCTTGAGTGGGCCATCGGCGTGGACAATGGCGAATCAGGAAATTACCGTTCCCGCGAACCGGAGCCCGGACGGTGCATGTGACACTTGTATTATTGTAATAACAATTACAGTGATTTACATAACGCGCCGCGCCGTTCTCGGAATCAGACCGAGGGAGGCACAACTGTATAACAAGTGACGATTACAACCTCTGATCTTGAAAGTAAAGAAGCACTTCTAGGTAAATTAGAGCGTAGATCCAGAGGCCCGATTATAGAGTGACCTCTTGACCCGCGATGGCCTCCTCTATCTCTGCACGCTCTCTTACAACATAACAAACTATAACAGCTATTCTTGGATGGATAGCTACGAAGAATTCTGTCATGAAATTTTATTGCGTACTGCTGTACAAAAAAGGCCGGTTGCGTACGTTTTCTTACATGCAATTGTAAATTCTTTCGATGTAATTACGGCAACCTATTATTCGAATTTCTTTTTGAGGAATTTTACTGAATAAAACGCTTGCTGATGATCGCGCATCACCATCATCGTCATCATCATCATCTTAATCATCGACTCTGGTCCTCCGCATACGAATCCCATTCGGATCCTGGCTGGTGATCTTATGCTGTATTGTAGTAGTAGCTGTAGTAAGATGCATCTCGCAAGCAACAACAAATTACCCGGCCTGCAATTAAATGCAAAACACACGCAAAGCGGATCGAACTGGGCAGGGCAAAAACAAAAATGCCAGCAATTAAATTTAAGTGGACTAACGTTTTCTTTCTCCGGCAGATTAATTTCCGTTGAATGGGAACACGTGAACGTACTCCTTAAAATGTATTGCACCCCAGGCAATCCTAATTAATGCCTTTAAATCATTACGACGCAAAAAAAATACGAAACTCGGAGAGAAGACAACTTGATTGATGCTCCGCTATAAATTTCTTACTTGCGTACCATAAACACCTAAAATACAAATAAATAATCAATTACAAAGTACCTATGTTCGTAGTACTTCTGCAAAGTTCATAGAATTGTACTGTTATCTATGCAACACATTCTACATTGATATTGAAGTCTTGATTCTGACCACTTAGGCGCCACCAACTTAGTTATGACATAGGCAACGTTTCAAACATGACCTATAATCGACCAGACAATTTGCGTTCAATACTAGACATGCCAGGCATACAAGGCAAGTTTTAGTAATGAGTATAAGTGTAATGACGGATTTAGTGGTTGATCCCAATATTAGAGGATGGGTGTTTTTACCCATCATAGTGATAACATTTCTGGTCGGTATATTTAGACATTATGTTTCTATTTTGTTATCCTCACAGAAAAAGGTTGAAATCCAGCAACTTCAAGATAGGTAGGTTATAATATTAAAATCCAAAGCATCTTTTATTAAAATTTCCTGTTTAAGTCAAATTATTCTAAGATCCAGAATACTTAGGGAAAATGCAAAGTATATACCCAGGTCATCATTCAATATGCGTAGGCAGTTCTTCAATAACCAGGAGACTGGGTACTTAACACAAAAAAGAGAGCACACTGCTCCAACAATGATGACCGATCCAAATATGATGACAGATATGTTAAAGGGAAATATTACAAATGTAATTCCTATGTTCATAATTGGTGGCTGGATTAACTGGATGTTCTCTGGCTTCATAACAAGTAAATATTTATAATACATATATGAATTCAAATATATATTAATTATAATAAAATTTTAGCCAAAGTACCTTTTCCATTAACTCTTCGTTTTAAACCTATGCTGCAAAGAGGCATTGAGCTTTCTCATCTGGACGCCTCATGGGTATCATCTGCATCTTGGTATTTCTTGAACGTTTTTGGTTTGAGAAGTATTTATGCACTAGTCCTAGGAGAAAATAATGGTAAATATATATATGATAAACTTTTGTATAATTCTAAATGTTCCATTTTAGCTGCTGATCAAAGCAAACAAATGCAAGACCAAATGTCTGGAGCAGCAATGGCTATGCCACCAGATCCAAAAGTTGCATTTAAAGCTGAATGGGAGGCCTTAGAAATTGTTGATCACCAATGGATCTTGCAGGATATAGATAATTCGTTGGTAGATCAATGAAACATACAATGCGCAATTCAAATGTATTGCCAAAAAAAAATATGTATTCATTTAAATGTGAATAGTTGATAATCGTCAACCGTTATAAATAGAATCAATAATCAACTTATGTCGCAAAATAGAATAATTTCAATAAACAGTTCACCTAATTTTCTAATGGATCATCAGATGCCTGTTATTTTACTTTTTTTTAATACAATTCCTCTATAATACAAGTATAATTTATCATTATTCAACATGTTTCCATACGATATTTGAATCTAAAAATATGTTTAAAGCGTCATCTACAATATCAGTATCAATACAATAATCAGTACAATATCAGTATATTACGCTGTTGAACTTTTAATGATTTTTCGCCAATCCTCAATAACATTGAATTATTTAGTGAAGTCTGTAATATGTATCAATATATTATTTAATGTAGGCCTTGACTATTAGGCAAATCATGTGTTGCATTTTCAGAATGCTTAAATGCATATTTTGAAATAGTATCACTATATAGGAAATTAATCTAAGTTCTTTTTATAAAATATGTTGTAACTGGAATAACACATTAGATGTCATAAGGAATATAAAATTAATAAGATGTACATGTCGAGAAATGTGTTTTTCTATCAGCTATATATGTCAACAATGATTCATACACAGGCAATGTTCATGGCCGAATGGATAGTACTGCAACTCATGGTACTAGTATTATGACTGCAACCTATGATATAAGAGCTACGCATTAATGGTTGCGTGTATGCAACTTATATAACACGAAAGTTGCATACGTATGCGAGGCTGGTCACCTTAGAAAGTATACCCATCATATTTTTAACACGGATAATGAGGAGCATGGATCGGAGTGTGGGATTGTGTTGGTTGAAATGTGATTGTAAATAGTCTGAAATAGTCGAGCGATGTTTGCGGGCAAGGATTGCGTTCTCCTTCCCAAGTGGGATTAAAATATTTTGTGGTCTAGTGTTGTTGTTGTTTTGTTTCGGGGGTACCTTCTGGAAGATACAAGAACTTCGGCATTGGTGCAGCATCCGACCTGTTAGGAATCCGGTAGGCGCCCTCTCCCCACTAGTTGCTATGAAGCATCTGTTCGCCTATTATCATCAATTAATATTCGGCCCCCTTTTTCGAAATTCCGCTCGCAGCCATACATTCAGTCATCCTTGTTTATATATTTTTATTATGATATAATCGCATTGCAGAGCGATAACATTTATTAATAGATACGGTCGTACATGTATTTAGACAAGTTTTTTTCTATTTTATTTTCTGTTGCTTGATCTTCTAGTAGTACGCAAAATGTCCTATTCGCAACTGCCCACAGACAATGGTGAGTGTTGAGCATCCCCCTATAGGGGGTAGGCTAGAGAGTAGGTGCTGATCATGAATGTCTCTTAGGGTACGGCTGGTACCAATGCACGTGCTGCCCGTACGGGTACCATATATACTTGGATTTCGTCCGGTACTGCGAGAGCATTGGGCAACAACAGGTGGAAAAGATGGGTTCGATCAAGCGACGAAAAGATCGAAGGAAGCAAAGGCAGTCCATGGAGGTGCTCCTGGGCCTAACGCCTCCACTAGTGCAGATGGAAGCAGCCCCCATGCCGTCCTTGAGGGACCTGGAGAAGTCACCGTTGGAACAAGACAATGCACTCAGCGATGCGGTTTCGGATTTCGAAAGGACGCTGCAGCGCTCCAAAAATAAACTTTCTAATAATTTGCCTGATGTGACAGCTGTATCAGGTAATGAACCGGCTCATTTTCACTAATTGCTCTTTGTTACTTATTTAAATAGGGCAATGCACGGGAATAATAGGAAGTGCACTGGAGCTTAACAATTAGCTTAACTCCCGAGCACGCGCTTGCGCCATCCTCGCTACCAGTTCAGTTTACCTGTTGCTCAAATTCAACATTCAATACGCATTCTTCCTTGGTTACTATGTTTTTTTTTAGTATTCTCTATATCTCCATTAATACTGATTGTCATCTGTTTTATTGCTTCCTCACTCTATGAAATCTGCAACATTCCAATTTTGATAATTACTGATCGGAATCTCACCTTAGCTTCGTAATTTTTTTGTTTTTATCTTTGTTCGATAACGTGTTATGTGATAACATGTTGAGTTATTATTATTTGCAATAAACAGAGCGGAGGCTGCCGGCCGTCTCCTCTATGGGTACATCCGGATCGAGCATGGCAATCTTGCATCCCGCCGGTAATGGCAGCAAAGACTTCGAGCAGGTCGAGTCCTGCGGCCTCAGCCCCGCCGCCCTCCAGAACATCCGGACTCAAATGGCATTGAGCTTAGAGCGCACTAAGGAACTGGAGGAAATGGTCAAAATGGTCCCTTCCTTGCAGGTACTGACCCATTTCATGCATATCTAAACACCTACTTGGTATTCCCCGCACAATTAACAACACAACCCTCAGTTACTTATTCAAAGCTTTCTTTGGAAATAGGTGCAGTTGACGGAACTGAAAGAAGAGAACGAGCAGCTAGTATCGAAGCTGCGCGCCGAGGAGGATTCGAAATTGAACCGTTTTAACTCGAATTATTTATTTAATCATTTCGCAAGGAATCGATCTCATTCGTTTTCTAATGATCCACTTGGCGGGGACAGCAAACAACAACCGCCGCCACCTCCGCCCCCGAGACGCGACTTCGGCGTGATGGCAGGCGTCATTACGAGGAACGTTGGAGTTGGTCATCAAGCACCACACACGAAGACGGTGTCCACCGACACCCAGCCTGAACAGTACACGGATCGGTGGTTTTTGGAGAAAAATAAATTCCTGAACGGGCCGGAAAGTAAACAGAACATCTACACAAGTAAGGCTACACAGACCATCGTACCCAAGGAGAAACGCGAAGCCCACGTGCAAACAACTGATCCAAGGCCAATCTTAAAGGATTTTTCAACCCAAACCGCCGTTAAAGTATTTAGCGACATCGGCGTCAACGCCACAACTAGGACATTAGAGACAGGTATCCAGCATAGTCCGGCCACTCGCACAGTTGCCGTTTCAGATGACACCATCATCGACGCAATCTGCGCGAAATGCAGCGAGCTCGGGAACACCACGTCCACATCCATATCTCTAGCAGCTCTGTCAGTGCCCCGCAGCAAATCATTCCATCTAGGCGAAGCGAAACTGAGCCGCAGCCGGACAATCGGTTGCCAGTATGACCAAGGCTTGTGCATAAACTCCTCCAACAAATCGACCCAATCAGAAATTAAAACGGCATCAAAACAGAGTCAGCACGAATGCACACAATCGAATAAAGGTAGTCAATACGAGAGCAGCTCGCATTCGAAATGTACCGACACGAAGGGCCTGATTGAGATGAAACACAAGTCCGTGGATAATCAGGCGGAGACGGTGGAAGTCGCCTGCAACACGATCAGCGAGGAGGCAGCCAAGAAGGAAGAGTCGGTGACACCGTCCAGAATACCCAGGCCGCAAATACCCACGACACCGGTGGAAAATAGAAAGTTCAAACGGCAGGATACTTACACGAAAATACCGGCCGTCCCAGACAAATCACCAGTAGGGTAAGTTTCATTGATTTCTTTTCACGTTTATTTCGTCGCGTTTCTTTTTTCGTTGACGGGGTGGGCGAGGGTTGGTGTGCTAATTAGAGTAAGGTCATGGGTATACAAACATTTCGCGAGCGCGCATGCCCTAGCCCAGACATCAATAAGAGATCAAAACAAAGCTAGTCGCTTTACCAGTCCTGGGACAAACGTGCATTTTGCTTCCCCTATGTGGACTTAATTTAGCGGCAATCGTGTTACCGGATGTTCGGTTCCTTTCAGGAGGATGGACTCACGTACATGCGGCAAGACATACTGTATACGAGGTATTTATAAATCCGATTGTCAGGACGCGACTTTTTTAAATTTGTACACATACATCTCTATATAAATACATCCTCAAAAAGAAAAGACGACCGCCGTGTGTAATAATTAATGTATTTATAACTTTCTCCTCCAGACTCAGTGCATTAGAATTGGTGCCGACGAAAACAATCGCATCCGACGTAACTATTTTCTCCGAGAAGGTCAGCCCGAAATACCAACAGGCTGAGTCTTCCGCCAAAAATGATGAACTGGAAGACAAGAATCAACCCTCGGTCTCGGAGAACTCACTATGCCAACCGCCCAGCTTAAGGAAAAAGTAACTATTACACTTTCTCTTAACGATCTACTGTTTATTTACACCTACGACACACATGATCTAAACAAAATAAACACAATCAATTTTTCTTTGATTCTGACATTGTTAATTTTTTACATTCAACACGTAATCAACAACATTCATTGATTAAATTATTATAAAAAAAAAATTAACTCTTGTCTTTTAAATATTTCGAAAATCTTTTGAATTCACAAAATATCTATCTTATCAACTTTAGATACACCTTACAGCACTTAGTTTAATCTTTTTTTTTTATCAATATACGTCCTGTCGTTGCATTCTTTAATAGAAAATTACTTTCTTACACACTCAGTATTTCCGCTTTCCATATAAATGCAATATTACATAAGCACAATTTTAGTTGCCTTATAATTCTTATGCTTTAGTAGCTTGAAAATGAGCAAGTGATAAAAACATTTACTTCGAATTCTATAGTATATTCAATTTACAAATCGTCGGGATGAGCGTTATTAAAAAATACCTTTTTATGATTCACTACTATCTAATTCATGTGACCTCTCCAAAAATTAGTTGGTATTAACAATACTCCTTTCAAAGATGGAATGGATTATAATAGATTAATATATCCTACGGAAAACACGATTTCAATATCTTTCCGTATCTATAAAGTAAAGAAAAGCAGTGAAAACTGCAGTAGTAATAATATTTTGTTTACATTCTACAAATATCCGTTTTAATTTCTATTGATACAAATATACGACAAATAGCAAACATTTGCTTATAATAAAGAAGTTTATGATCATTGTAAAGTAAATAACTTCCATATTTGTTCCGTATAGTAAATTAGATTTGGTACGTGCATACAAGTCGCAAATTGTTTAGCGTATTTATTTAATAAACACACTGTGCCTAAATGAAAAACAAAACAACGCTTTCAACTGTTTCTAGATTTCTAGTATATCTACACTATTTTCACAGATAATTTTGCTTTTGTCTATATATAATGTTTTTAATTATTATCAACAAATTTGTTCTTGATTATTTGTTATATATTTTTACCATTTTACCTTTTTATTTATAAATTATGTAATTTCGCAATTGTGCTTCTTTTAATTGGTACAAAATAAAATCTTTTGCATTACTGTAATATGGTTAGATTTGATATTTTAATTAATTTCGTTTTAGATCATCGCCAAGCCGTGAAATGCAAGCTGCATTGAAAGTGCTGAACGATTCGATTCAAAAGAAGGGCAAAGACACGCGGGGACATTTAAAAAACGCATTCGCCATCATCCAGACAGAATGGTTCAAGGTGTCGAGCATTGTGGATGCGGACCCCGCAGATGTGGAGGATTACCTGGACTGTTTCGAAGACATATCATCAGCCCTTCTCGAGTATATCGTTAACATGGTAGACGCGAGCGGCAATACGGCTATGCACTACGCTGTGTCGCACGGCAACTTCGACGTCGTGTCGATACTTTTGGATTCAAAAGTATGCGACATCGACAAGCAAAACACAGCAGGCTATACCAGCGTGATGCTGGTATCCTTAGCTGAGGTGAGATCGAAGACACATGCAACTGTCGTCCGAAAGCTGTTTTCGTTGGCGGATGTAAACATCAGGGCAACACAACACGGACAAACCGCTTTGATGTTGGCTGTGAGCCATGGCCGAGTCGACATGGTCTCATTGCTCCTTGATGCAGGTGCTGATATAAATATACGTGATGATGACGGAAGCACAGCACTGATGTGCGCCGCGGAACACGGCCACATTGATATCGTAAAGCTCTTCCTCAGCCATCCCGACTGTGACTCATCCATTGCAGATGTCGTAAGTATACACAATGATTCACTTGGTGTTGTTGTTCTAAGGTGGTTCTTATACTCTATTAGGACGGCAGCAGTGCATTGAAGATCGCTATGGAGGCAGGTCACCGTAACATCGGTATCCTGCTATACGCGCACGAAAGGAACATCCATGGAGGAGCACCCCTCAGGCCAAAGAAGTCGAAATCCGCGAGCCCCAAGACGCCCTCTTCCCCGCTCCTCCAACACAGCGGTAACCGCTCTTTACCCATCACCAAGACTAACTACTAACTATGAATAGAATAGAAGACCCGTTTCCATTCTAACTGTGGACCATCCGACGAGAATACTTGCTCCATATTTATTATGCCAGTTCCAACGAACTCAACATATATATATCTACATATATCTAAATCCGTACTTATCTCCACTACTTTTTTATACATATATATATCATATACACCTTTGAAAACTGAACCTTTTATATAAATATATTTATAAACGTTAATGTTTGAAGTACATTCCAGAGTTACGACTAACAAGTTAATAATAATAATTTATTAATCAAAATAACGACAAATAATGATTTGTTCTTGTTTTATCATTTGATGTATGAAAAGCGTTATGAATAACAATAATATTAAAGAAGTCAAAAGTTTGTGATACAATCTCAATAAAAGAGAGGGTGCGTAGGCGTATAACAATAAGATCATGGCGTTTCCATCTCCACGCAAATAGAACAAAAATATATCATCATTCAGATTAGACATGTAGATCTATAGAAATCACAAACTTAAGTGAAACAATTGTAAATTTATATAATAATATAACGTAATTTATTCAGACCTTAACATCTCTTTCTTTACCGTTTCAAGTTTACAGTGTAAAATTGACTATAATAAAGTAACATGAAGAATTAAATTAAAGCAGCTGCTGGTGTCTGATTATTCTGCGTCGTGCAGCGGAGCGTCCTCCCGATCCTTCTTTCTTTTACATCTTGGACACGGCTTCAGAGAGTCCTGGCACGTCTTATGAAATACTCCACTGCACAAGTTACACTAAGAAATAAACAATGAATTAATTCGTAATACAATTATAGAATTTCGTTGTTACCCTGTATACATTTCTAGTGTCAAATGGGAAAAGCGGTTTCGATAGGTTACATATTTCGCATAAGAAACCTTTCTGACTGCACAACCAACAATTTAAGACATGATCTGTTCCGAATTGTACCACCTTCGCTAGCTGTTCGGCCAAAGACCCATCCTTTACCTGCATCAGATCCTATAAACGTAAACAGATTTAAAATTCTGCAATCTCAGTTTTATGTAATCGCTTTTACCGATATGGAATATTGATGTATGTGCTCATACATATACTCTCTGGGCCACATCTGCTTCTGAAGCTCCTCAATGATCGGCTCACGGCACGTGTACAAATATGCGCGTAAATAATTGAGCTGGTTCCTCAGTATCTGGAGCTTTGCCATTTCTTCAACTGCTGTATAAATGTACGGATTTGCTGTTTTAAAGTCTATTACTGGATGATCCTTAATTTCTTCGATGTACTTCAAAGCCTTCTCGGATACTTGATATACTTTGAAATCCCAATTGTGTATTATCCTGGCCGGTATAGGAATCTCGTCCTTAGATATGCATGTTCCACAGAAATATTCGCCAGTCAATGCGCAAACACTACAATTATAGTTGATTATTAGTATTATTCACAAAACAAATTCGTTATATTATTAAATAATACGGTAGTCAAATACATAATACTAACTATGATTTTACAACAAAGGAAATATCGTCCTTGCAAGTCGCACATTTGTAATCTTGATTATCCAAACCCAACTCCTTAGCAATGACGGAAACGTTGTTCGCCAAAATCAAAGGTTGGTTTCTGGGCGGCGGAACATCTTTAACAACAATCGGCTGAGGTTCCTGAGGCTTCTCCGTTGAAGACTCCAGTTTCTGCCAAACTTCCCGAAAATCTGGAGTACGTATATGTGTCCCAGCCAACATATTATAACTATTTTCCACTAAAGCGTTGAAGCTATGCTCCATGGATTTGGCATTATCCAATGGTTCTGTGGGCTCAGTTTTCTCCGATTCCGTATTGTTCTCATCGAAGGACCAGCCCGTTTGGCGATTCAGAGAGTTTCCTTGAGCAGCGGCTTGCCCGCTCTGGTCCTCACTTTCCGATTCGCTTGGAGTGCTTAATTTCTCAGGTACCATTTGATTATCCTCCCTCTCGCGTTTTTGCGAATGCTTTGCTAAAATGATTTTCAAAGCTTCATCTTCATTTAAATGGATCATCTGCCCAATCCCTGAGCTCTGTGACATCAATGAAGTTATTGAAGATGTTTCAGAGTTAGCAGAGCTTGTTGCTTGCATCGACTGGGCTACATCCACACCTGATGATATCTAAGAAAACAAAATTTTACTTGTGTTTAATAATAAATTTTTGTATACATACTGGACAAGTTCTCAGTGTTGGAGACCATATTCCTGCCAACAAAAGTGTTGGTACAGGCCATGAATTCAATAAACTATTATTATAAGGCAACTCTAAATCGATGCTTTCGATGCCTTCAATATACTTTTGTGCAACCTCCAGTTCATCTATATCACGGATATAAGCAAATGTATTGTAATAAGACTTTAAAGCACTTGGGTTTTGTCTAATTGTCATTAAATATGAAGAAAGCAGTGCCTCGTTCAGAGAGAGCCTGATCCATGCCCGACAGTGTCCTATATCAGTGGTAATTTGCTTTAGCTGTTGGATCTGCTCAATGCTCTCTCTGTGCAAGATGATCAGCAGAGGTGACCAAAAATTTGGTTCTGGTCTTTGGTCAACATCTGATATTGCTTTTCTGAACCGATGAGCAATAGAATCCTTTAAACCGTGCAAGAAGATTGCTTCTATAACTGAACATAAGTTGTTCTTGGCCTCCAGGCTGTCTCCTTCTTCTATACTGCATAATTGTATATCTTTCACAGTCTCAGAAAGCTGAGTAGTAATTGAACTTTTGATTGCACTTTGCCTACTATTATTTGTGGCTTTCACAGATTTCATAAACGCTTGCATCTTAGCATACTCATTGCTATGTATTGTCCTTGTTTAGGCACACTTTTATTTAAAAACAACACATCACTATGACAGTAGTATTACAAATGTTATTGTCTACTTTGACAGATCAGATGACAACCTAGGTTAATCTAATCTATATCAACTCAACAAATTTGACTATATTCTTCAATAACAAATTAAAACTCTGATTCACTAATTGGTAAGTAAGTTTATTTGTAAATTAGATTTCGGTTTATTTAAAATTTATATTAAACCTAGGATTACTTTAATCCCAAGTCGAGTTGATATAAATGTTAAATGTCAAACTCAGTTGTAATTTACTTTCAAAGGGTGTTGTTGTTTTTAGTTTTCGGAAGTAGGAAGCAAATAAACAGAGGAGGAAAACCGAATTATGGTAATAGCACATCGCCTACGAATAGATCAGTGCCTGCAATAAGAAAGCCAATCCAGAACTATAGTATATCCACTAGAAAATAACAAATACAATAGGGTTTTGACAGCTGCCAGCTCATCTGAATTTAAAAGCTCTAGTATTTATTTTAATGATTTAATCAGTAAGAAACATGTCCTTTGAGAGTGGAAGTATTAGTTCAGAATCCTCTCAAGCTTTCATTGAGATACTACAAAATGATTTTAAGAATTTGTCACTTGAAACGAAGAAGAAGTATCCACAAATTAAAGAGGTAATATTAATGTTCCCCTTGGGACTGTGGACAATCCCATTTCAATTACATTCTGTTTATAGTCATGTGAAGAAGCTATAGTCAAACTGAGGGGTTCCACCTCAGCCCCACAAACACCCATTTATTATGTAATCAATCAAATCATATATCCTTTGGTCCAGGGATGTGAGTCAAAGGATATGAAAATTATCAGAGTAAGTTTAACTTAATTACAATGCCTAGATCCAATACTGATATTGCTTTATTGATGCAGTGCTGTTTGCAAATTATGCAAAGATTAATTACACAGCAAGTAGTGGATTCAAAAGGTGCCCGATATATAACTGATACACTTTGGATGTTAATGGAAGCTGGCATAGAGGAAGTTAAAGTTTTGCAATCAGTTACATTATTATTGACTACAAATTCTGTGGTTCATGGAGATACATTGGCTAGGGTAAGTAGACTTATCATCACCTTTTTTAATTGGAGTGATAAAAATAAAAACACAAGCAATTTCATAAAGTTGATTTGTTCTTTCAGACGTTAGTTTTATGTTTTCGATTGCATTTTGCGAAAAATTCGACAACGATAAATACCGCTGGTGCCACTGTAAGGCAATTAGTGTCTTTAGTATTTGAGAGAGTAGTTGCTGAGGATGAGTACCTATCGAAGAGCGAGAACCCTCCTGCAACGAGGCAAGTGAACTTGGAGGAGTTGAAAGTCGCAAGTGGTGTGCCGCCAAAAGGTCTGTCTGCTTGCGCTGCGGACGCATTTCTGTTGTTTCAAGATTTAGTTCAACTGGTCAATGCAGATCAACCCTATTGGTTGCAAGGTATGACAGAAATGACAAGAACGTTCGGACTGGAGCTATTGGAATCCGTGCTCACGCAATTCTCGGTTGTATTTTTCAAGAACGCAGAGTTTAGCTTTTTGCTGAAAGAGCGTGTTTGCGCGTTGGTCATCAAACTGTTCTCGCCAAACATTAAATACCGTAGCACGATACCTGCAAGCGTTCAGCAAGCGACACCTTTCGACAAGCCTTATTTTCCTATTAGCATGAGGCTATTACGAGTAGTTTCTATATTGATACAAAAGTATCACGTGCTGTTGGTTACGGAATGCGAAATATTCCTGTCTTTGATCGTTAAGTTTCTGGATCCCGATAAACCTAGCTGGCAACGTGCGCTCGCCTTGGAGGTGTTACATAAGATGACCATACAACCGAAACTGTTGAATTCCTTTTGCGAGTTCTACGATTTAAAGAAACACACAACGAGTATTTTTCAAGACATCGTAAATTCGCTAGGAGCTTATGTGCAGTCGCTGTTTGTGCCCGCGCAACTACAAGCAGGAACACGTAATATCAAACACTTTTCTGTAAAAATCCCGTATTAAATGTAGACATTTTTCAGTTCCTATGGCGCCGGGTCAGGCACCTCAATATTTAGCTGGAGTACAACCTGTGCAAGGACTATCGTCTCAAGCAGGATTTTTATCCAGAGGCATCATGTTACCAATAGTTGTAAATTTCCAGACTGGACAATCAAAATCTTTATAGTAAGTTAACTTTCTATCTTTAAATTGAAATTACTAATTATTAACATTTGCTCAGTTTGGAAATGTTGGACAAAATCGAGCCACCTATGATTCCCGATGGTTATGGTATTTCTATCGCGTACGCATGTTTATTAGAAATAATCAGATCTCTGCAAATTAGTATTGATAAGCAAATAGTTGATGAGACTGATGAGAAGGTCGATGGAAAGCCTGACAATAAAGACAATATTGAATTGCATTGCCAATTAATTAATTCGAGCTGGTGCGGTCTGCTGGCAGCGCTTAGTCCTTTGATGGAAGCCAGCACAGACGAAGGTATTACAGAAAACATATTGAAGTCTATGCAGACATACGGAGCTTTATGTGGCTACCTGAATTTGCAAACGCCTCGCGATGCTTTCATAACAGCAATATGCAAATCGTCATTACCGCCACATTACGCCCTAACAGTTCTGAACGCTGTTACTCCAGGTGCTCCGTTAAGAGCACACAATGACATTAACACACAGTTCTTGAATCAGTGTGCTGAGACGGATTACCGTCAGCAAATTGTAGCTGTAGGAACACCTTTGCCAACCTCAACGATACCGAACGGCGCTCAGCAAGGGCCGGTTATGTTAACTGCGAAGAATTTGCATTCAATGCGGGCTCTGTTGAATTTGGCGCATTGTCATGGTAGCATTCTAGGATCCTCATGGCATTTGGTTCTTACAACTTTGCAACATCTGGTTTGGATCTTAGGACTGAAACCATCCACCGGTGGCAGCTTAAAAGTCGGTAGAATAATCGATACCAATAATGTTATCACAACGCATGTGATGTCCGACCTCCCAGTGTTGTCGACAATGTTAAGCAGACTATTCGAATCCAGCCAGTATTTGGATGATGTCGCATTGCATCATCTCATAAACGCCCTATGCAAGTTATCACAAGAGGCTATGGAATTAGCTTACACGAATCGCGAACCGTCGCTTTTCGCAGTCGCGAAACTTCTGGAGACTGGGATTGTGAATATGAATAGGATCGAGGTGCTGTGGAGACCTTTGACCAATCACCTTCTCGAAGTGTGCCATCATCCGCACATGAGGATGAGAGAATGGGGCGTTGAAGCAATAACCTATTTAGTGAAAGCCGCGCTACTCTTCAAGCACGAGATTCCACTAAGGGAGAATCAAAAGTTGCAAACGCTTTTGATAGGTCCATTGGCTGAGCTCTCTTCAGTACCGCACGGGGATGTCCGCCAAAGACAATTAGAGTGCGTTCTAGATATTTTACACGTGGCCGGCGAGACCTTATCCCACGGCTGGCCATTAGTATTAGGTATCATCGGAGCTGTATCTGATCATCATGGGTAAGCAAACGACTTTATACAAACAAATTGATAAATTATTAAATTACATTATTTTGAAAACAGCGAGAATTTGATTCGCATTGCTTTTCAATGCCTTCAATTAGTTATAACCGATTTTTTGCCAGTGATGCCTTGGCGATGTCTGCCTTTATGCGTTGACACTGTGACCAAGTTTGGTTCGCAGATGCAGGAATTGAATATTTCTTTGACAGCCGTAGGACTGATGGTACGTTTGAAACAATCAATACAAAGTCATCTCTAAATTCGTGTTTCTCGTTTTAGTGGAACATATCAGATTATTTTCACCAGAACCAAGCTAAGTTGAGCCAAATATTTAGCGAAGATGTGAATGTGTTCCCCGAATTCCCCGGTACATTGAACGTACCCAATTTTGATAAGCTGTGGATGTGTTTGTATGGTAGATTGGGAGATCTATGCGTGGATACTAGGCCTGCAGTCAGGAAATCAGCAAGTCAGACACTGTTTTCGACAATAAGTGCGCATGGTTCATTACTTAAGCATTCAACTTGGCAGGCCGTTCTATGGCAAGTATTGTTCCCCTTGTTGGACAAGGTGCATATGCATTCGCGGTCGGCGAGCAGTGAGAAGGTTGATACGGGAGCTAACATTTTGATCCACCATACAAGGAACACTGCTCAGAAACAATGGGCCGAGACTCAGGTTTTGACTTTATCTGGTGTCGCGAGAGTTTTTAACACAAAGAGGCAGTTACTGCAAGCGTTGGGTGATTTTCCGCGTGCGTGGTCTGTACTTTTGAACTTCATCGAGAATTCAGCACTTGCTAAAAATAACGAAGTGTCTTTTGCTGCATTGAAATCGTTCCAGGAAATTTTGTACCTAAACAAGAACCCGTCGGCGGAGAACAAGGGTGCCGCGGTGGAGGATAAGGACATTTGGGCAATAGCGTGGCGCGTCTGGGTTAAGATCGGAACGGAGATCACGTTGCCATTAATTGAAAACGTACCCGGTGAGGATGCGTACCTCCCGAGCCAGTCTTTTCTCACTGCACTTGTCCAAATCTTCCCAAGTGTTTTTCAACATGTTAAGAGTGGTTTCGAGGTGAGCGATTTGGATAACCTATGCCGCGTTCTTACCAATGCGGTCAGCATACCGGTTTACGGCGAGAGCAGTCAATACATGGTTTCCACTACTAGCGAATTTAACTTGACTACTTTGCACGATGGTTCATTACAAGCTGTGGAACTAGTGCAGAAGGAGGCCGTGGCCAGGAATCAGTTTAATATGTTGCCCGGTATTTTCAAGCAGCTCCTTAGCTTCTCTAAATTCAGTTGCTACCCTCCGACGAGTACCAAGCAGGAGATGAGAGCGTCTCCAGATTGGCTGACAATGAATTATATTCCTTTCGGGGAAAAGGCCTTGACGTCCGCCGTGGCTTTATACGAGACTACAGCTGACAATGAAGAAGTCATTTACAGTAACGTTCTTAGAGATATTATAGCCAGTCTGCACGTGCCGTTGTCCTTGAAATACGGTTGTCCATCAAGCAGCACGTGGAAACTGGCTGCGAATAGCTTCATCAATGTGCTTAAAGTTGGATTGCCGGTGACGAGAAATCTGAATAACACGACTATGAACGATATGTGGGACCAACTTGCTACTACCCTGAATGAATTTCTGTTCCCAAAGATGTGTGCTCCAGCAGATAGGGGATTGGATGAAATAGTTTCAGACGAGGCTACTGATTGCCAATTAATCGAGATCATGCGTTCTCAAGTATTACCATATTCTGGCAGTATTCCTCGAGAGTTTATCCTTAAAATCGTCGTGTTGCTCAACCGGGGTTCCATCCATTCTGCGACCAATGCCAACATGGATTCTGAGACGGAGTTGACGCTGCGTGAAGAGTTTGCGAAGACCTGTTTCGAAACTCTCCTGCAGTTTTCCTTGGTCGACGAGGAATCACAGTCTTCTCTTTTCAATGGTACTGACGCCACGGACAACGGTATCGCCGGCAAGCTTGCTGTGACAGCACTTCTACACAGGTTCCAAGAGGTCCTCAAGAAGTACATAGACGATGAGAAGCAGAGCGGGAAATGCCCACTTCCAAGGTATACCTTTATAAACATTACACGAACGTAGCTTCATAAGCTATGAATACATTATTAGTATGGACGTACAACATTTAGCAATCTCTGGTTTAAGTTCTTGCACTTTGTATGTCACTTGTACTGTACAACTCTGATTTTATTATGGTTCATTACCCCATAATAAATTTGGTTGCTATGCGTTGAAAATACCATGGAAACCATTCCACAAAATCAATATATTTAGTCTCGCCATTTTATCAAGTAATAATAGTAAAAAATCAATATAACTAGCATCAACTCTTGATTAAAGTATTTAAGTTTTAATTTTCTAAACAAACTCAAAGATTTAAGTTGTTTCGCAATAATTAATATCATTTTTAATTCACGTTGGACAAAAATATTAATGATTCATTGACATTATGATTAAACTAAAATAATTTAGGAGAAAAGTTAAAAGAATATAAAATCAGATTAATTGAAAAAATAATATTCATCAAAGTTATTAATTCGTTGCTTTGCGTCAGGTACAGATTATCAGAAATATCGTTCGTCCTGAAAGCCATAACAACCGTGATCATTTCGATGAAGAAAGCGACGGTCAACAAAGGTAATAAAAGCATACACGTTGTATCTTCTCTATACTTATGTGTCTATTTTTCTTTATTATTTGCTTTCTCTACCCTCTTTGGAAAAGACGATGCTGCTTGGGAGCAACTGATCTCGCTGTACCCATATTTAGTGGAATGCACGACGACAACATCAACGCAGGTGTCGAGGCCATTACGAGAAGCTCTACTCCAATTCTGTGATCTACTGCAACCTCCGAACCAAAATTCGAAGCTTTCGAACGGTAATTAGAGTTTGGTTGACGAAATGATTTCCCACCCCCCTTACTTCGTTACAGTGTTCTGTTGGCATTCCGGATTTATTATATTAATACTATATTATTAGCGTTAGTTAATATAGCAATATATTATTATATTCTCTATTTTCTGTTTATGAATGTGATAAGTTTGGAGTGTGTATTGTTATTGAAGCTATGTAACGTTCGTTATAGTGCGAGTAGATCACTACGTTTTTATTACTTATTTTATTATTATTATTTTGTTAGGTTTTATGTGATTTATTTATTAAAAGATTTAAATGAATAGATGGTTTTTCATTTTACTCTGATTTCTTTTCCTTTTTAGTTATTTTGTTGATCTCTATATTCTCTTTCTATCTCTATATTTTTGTTGATGTTGTGGGAGGCTCGTTTCTGTTACCTGCTTTGTCCATTTATTACAGTGTGTTTCAGATAAAACATCCCATTATTGGCATCGGGATTGTACTCTGCTTCGCTTCAGACAAGTACTATTAAATGCAGTATTTCATGACTCAAAGCTAACATTTTGGCGAAGAATTTTATTTTTCTCAGTTTTATCAACAACGCCTGCAAATTTATATATTTTTTTATAATAAAACACAAAATAAGCATTTGCAAATTACAATACGTACTGACAAAATCTAATATAAGAACGTGACATCTAGAATTATATCATTTTCAACAGACCTTTAATTATATAACATCATATTGATATGGTACAGTCATAAGTTCTTAATATTTTGGTATATTTGTTTGCATTATTGTATATATTGAAATTATTTAATTAAGAGCATGTATAGTTATACCAAATAATAAATGGCTAAGACAGTAGTTAATATTAGCACTGAATGTGTTACTTCATTTAAAAACGTGTGGACCGTAAAACTGTTATAACATTACAGACAATTATGTTTTTATTTAACTAGTAAAAAATTTTCAATTTTATTTTTTTTTATAGGAAATTGCCTTTATAAAGATGATTACGTAAGTTTTTTTAGTATCAGCCAATTCGTGTAGCTACAATTAGTACTGTTGCGTATTGCTGCGTCTTATATAACGGATAATACATTTGCTGATGTTTACACTGGAGGAAATATCGGCGGATTTAGTAATTGATAATAATTTAGACAACAGGAAGGATCGTGGACAGAACATAATTACTTATAAAATTTTATTTACAGGTTGCGATGTATATATATATAATATATATGATATGGACATATAATAATAATAATTAATATTGGCAAGAAAATAAATACAAATACAAATATTCTGTATTGGATAGATTTGTATGTTTTGTACTTGTTAATATTAGTTTGTATATTAACCTTGACAAGAATATGACTTGAGTTTCATTTCTCTTTTCGTTGTTGTTTATAAATATTTAAATAATTAATGGGGGAGGGGTAGTGTCAATAACAAAAGGGTGACAGAAGAGAAATAAACGTTAAAACAAAACAAAAAAAATAAAAAAAAAACAAATTGTTTATACGCAGAGTAAACAAAACAAAAAACCACCGAAGTTTGGAGGAGGGAATATTACGTGTACGTTTTGGTCACACTAGGGTTGATAATTCATGCGGGGAGTTTGTTGTAGCGACGCTACTCAAGTCCAGGGTGGCTGTGGGCATACCAGGGCTGACACTGCCGCTAGCCTCGCGCGGATGCGAGTACTTCATGTTGTCGGTCGTCGGCGGAGTCGTCGTCGAGGGCCTCAGGATGTAAGGACACGGACCGTTGCCCAGGATGGCAGCGGCGGGCGGTGATCCTGCGACCGTCGAATGCAGAAATCCCACGCTGTAGTTGCTGACGTGCGACTGGTTCAGGTTTAGGGCCGCCGCCGGCGCCGAGATGTTATGGAAGGAGTTGTGGACGGAATGCTCTTGCTGCAAGGCCAGCTCCTTCACGGCGTTCGTCTTCTCCCTCTGCCAAATGAACACATTGTGGACCATAGCGCATCCGCAGAAGACGATGCCCAACCCGATGAACACGCTGGTCACGATGGCTGGTGTAGAGTGGAACTGTATGAACGTGTACAGGATTATACCTGGAAAATGATTAGGGGTCACCCCCTTTAGTTAGTACTCGTGTTCTCTGCCCGCCCCCCCACGTCTATCTTTCTAGCTAGCTGCGGCGAGAAAAAAACCTTTCGGGTCTTCAATACGCACCAGTTAAGAACACAGGTATGGAAATAAAGAACCCTCCGACCGCACACACCCGGCTCACGGACGACTTCTGTAAATACTTGTTGGTTCTAAAAAGTACAACTTCCATGAATCTAACAACACATTAGTAGCACAGTCACATTTCATTTTTGGTTTGTTTATTTGTTTTTGGAACAGCTGAAAACTACAACAAAACCATACTCATACCAAACACATTTCAAATTTTTACATAGTTCATAATTAATTTATAGATAAATTCTAATTCACACTAAATCATTTTCAATTCATCAGTATCAAAATTTATTGTATAATAACATATATATTTGGTAATTTTACTTTCCATATCTACTATACAAATATTGATATACTAATGCATAAGAAAATTCAACAACTTATCGTCAGATGAGATTTGTGAATATTTGTTCAAAGTTTATCAATGTTTACTGAAACTGAATGTTTGACTTACCAGAAATATTATTGTCATAATGTGCTAAGATTAAATATTGAAATACTACTGCAGATGAAAATTCAACTACTTATCGTCAGATGAAATTTGTGAATATTTGTTTAAAGCTTATCAATGTTTACTGAAACTGAATATTTTACTGAAATTGAAACTTTTTGTCATTCAAATTAAATGGCCTTCCGTTAAACCATTAAGTTTCTACCAAATTTTTCTAATTGATATTTGATTAATTAATTAATAATAAGCATACAAATTGTTAGATATCCATACTTGAATTCAATCTAATATCGAATAATTAAGAAAAACAAATTTTGATTAAGTTAAGTTAATTAAATTATTCATAAAAATAAACTTTGAATGTAGAAAATAAACCATATTAAATTTACAAATAAATTGCTTTTATTTGATTCGTTTACAACAGTTGAACCATTTCTGCCGTGGTCTCACTATAACATTGCAGTAAAGCGGTCAAAGGTTGGCCAGATATGTTCAGAATTTAAGTGGGAAGCCAGACGTCGATATATGGTATGCTCTTATAATTCTTGCAAAAATCTTATTTTTTATACCTTTACTTTACTTTAGTTTTGTTTTTATATACGTTTTGTTTAATATATACTCAATAAATATTTTATATCGAAACACAATTTGGCGTCTCTGGTTGATAGTTAACCGAAGTGTATCTAAAATAGAATTTGGATGAATTATCTGTACTCTTTGCCAACTCAGGATAAATAAAATTACACTCTAGTCAAAAAGAGACGATTTACAAGTGTTAACACAATCACACAACATATCGATTTAATTTACAATTTGTGGACTTAATTTTTTTTATAACACCATATTATATAATTTTTCTAAGCATGTAAAGAATATATGTCTTTATGACCTTCCGTTGTTATTTAGTTTTTTTTTTTACTGTTTTATAATCTGTGACCTCAATTATATCGTAGATTTATTGTTGAAGCATTAAAATTTATCACAATCCCATTTTTGTATACTTCATTGTGATCAGAGACAAATAATTAGAATATTTTTTTAACATAATAATGTTATACATAAGAACACCAAATGCTACTTCTCAAGAAAACTAAATGAATTAAAATATATTTTCGTTGTCCCAATTAATATCAATATACGCATACAAATTTGTATACAAAAAAATAATATTAACATTGTTGTTATGTAATATTGGAAATATTTTTTTTTTTGAATCTTTTTATTTTATGAAGATTTTGATTACTTAATTGTATAGAAGAAACTTGGCATTTCAGTGACAACAAAATTATTTAAAATGTAACTTTTTCAGTCCGAAAATTTTCGAGATTTTAATGATGTGTAACTGCAATGAATCTATTTTAGCGTTGTATAATTTCCTAATGGTTAAAAGCTTTACTGAACTGCATCGCTGAAGTCACGAGACACAAAAGGTTTTTCTTTAAATTGGACAACGACTTCTATGACTTAAGATATGTTTGTCCTGTAAATATTTAGTTGTTCTACTAAAATACCACCCTATTTATACCAAATTGTAGTGGTTATTCATGTAAGTAGTTATGTTGTTCTGAAACTTCAGTTGATGTTTATTTTTATTATAGTCCGAAGTAGGTTTGTAACGTTGCAATTGCACACATCCAATCATTTCGCATATTTTTAAATGAATCAACTTACAATAAATTTTGATATTAGTATGTCTATAATGGTACCACATTCTGCACTACCCACAGACGTTGTTCACACTCACTGTTATTCCATAAGATAAAAAAAAAACTAAATAAAACAAAAAGAATTAATTAAATTCTAAAATTAAAAAAAAAAACAGAATTGAATCATGTTACACAACATATTGATTTACATATTTATTCACTTCTATCCATGTAGTGCTAATAATTGCATTTTTAATTCGGTCTTGGATGAATTCGATCGAGCTGCAATAATTATGAATACCGTTCGATTCAATTCAAATTAGTCAAAGTTGCATTAATATTCATGTTGTTGTTGTTTTTTTGTATTCTAATTAAGAACTGAATGAGCGAGCAACAATAGCATGCGCGAAGAGAAACGTTACGCAAGGTGTAACGATTAGGGCGTTGATGATGGTAACGGTTTTCACTCGGCTGTTGGCTAGGTATAAAACATGAATAAGTGTGCACCTGCCATGGCAGATAATAAAGACGAGCTCTGGATTCACTGGATGGCACCCATTTAGATGTTATCCGTCGCGCTCCGAGGCGCAGCAGCAAGCGGTGTGCAGTGCACACACAGCTCGCAACTCGTTTTTTCTTTTGGTATTTCAATGCAGGTGCACGTATTTCATTTAGCCGGCCATCGGTCATTACTTTTGAGCTGGGCACGAGCTGTCAACGGGCAATAACCGATTCCAAAATATTACAATATTTTTAATTGCTATTATAATAAATACACAACTTTCTGTTCCACAAAATTAACAGACAAATATTTTTAATAGTACTGCAGCTTCACTCACAAAACACTCCTTTTTTCTGTTATTCAACGGAAATTAACTGATTCCATAAATATTGCAATATTTTTATTTGTTTCATACTAAAATTTCTACTGCTTCAATATTTTCGAAAAAATATTTTTTAGCAAATGTAATCGAATTTTCTCTATATTCATAAACGTATGTTCAAAGTCAATAGAAAATAATTATTTATATATAAAAATTGATGATTGAAAACTATATACACTTCAAAATGTATCTCAAGTGTATTTCCACATTCTTTAATAAACCATTATTGAACTGGTCTTATTGAAATGTTTATTTTATTAGACTGGAGTACTTAAATTTAACTGCCCCGAATATATATTTAGTATTTGGTGATAAATATCAATGTTCTTGATTTTAATTGGTTTTCTTGGTTTTATATAATAAATGAATATATTTTAACCATTTAAATATTTGAAATATAAGATTTGGAAATAATCATAAATTGTTACTGTTGGTCTATATATGATGTATTAATTTATGGTCTCACAATGTTATGTTTGTGATAACGTATGAACTTGGGCACTTAAAATATTGACTTTTCATTCACACTTGTAGTTGATTATCGTTTTGGTAGTATATTGACACGTTTTGATAATTTACATAGTTAGTTTGGTAATGCATATGGTTTTGTTTAGATTTTCGGAGCGAGAGAGCGTACCAAAAAGGTATGTAGGTAGGTGTGGGTGGGCTGGCAGGTACTGGATGGGTTGGTAAATGGTATGAAAAGTAGTTTGGTTGGTGGTACATTGATTGATGTATTTACCTATCGTTTCCGCCGTGCGGGCTTTTGACGAGCTTGACGGCGAATAGGAATTGAATGGCGCACACCAAAAGGCAGCAGAGATTGAGCGAGAGTGTCAGAGCACAGAGTGCTAAGGTGACTTCGTATACGACAACGTATTCTTCGGCGGTAATTACAGTTAGTTGTTCGGCCCGCAACAGCTCCCGTATATCGCTAGCAGTAACTGGTGATATTTTCAAGAGAAATATTAGAGACAACAAGGCTAGAAGCAAACTAACTAAACATAGTAATCCCAAACTAACTAACATTTCCTTGACGCCTACTTGCTTAGACTTTGCAATAAACTTGTTGACGGGGCCCTGAGGACGAGGCCTAGAGATGTTGAGGCCACCGTTCGCCGCAGCCTTGGCGTACACCGAGTGCTTGGAGGTGTCCAGCAGGCTCTGCGGCAACTGGGACACATTCAATGGGTACTGCTGTTGTTGCCGTATGGATGACATGTTATTAGCGGCAGCGGGCATTCGGTACCTGTGCGACGATTGCTCGTGCCGCGGTTCCATCACCATTGAACTATCTGGTCGAGAACCGCGAGTACCACCGACCCCTCCATTGGCATTCAACATGTGCTTCAGCATCTCCACGCCAATTTATTACATGCATTTGCACGCCACTGTTACAGTAAATACATTTGTACCGATGATTCGTATCAGTTACATATTCCTTATACATATTTAGCCCCATACATGTTTGTTAGTTAGCGAGGAATCTTCGGCGTCGCATGTCCGCCACCCCTAGGCGCAATCATCTTCTGCCTCTTTTTCTCATCGAGATCCACGGAATTGAACTGTCGCGACCTGGAAGTAGAGGAATAAGAGGATCGCCTTTAAACATAAAATTGGGATAACTGGGGAGCACAAGAAACGCGGCTTTGGGGTTTAGTGAGTACGGCTACAACTGCCGTAAAGATTCGAGCACCTGTTTTCGAATATTCCAACCATCGCCAAGGTGATTATCCTTCTCAGAGGCGGGAATAACGAAAGTACACACATACATTACAGAAACGCGACGTCCTCATCGCCGGACTCGGATTTCGGTTTCAATTCCGTCAATGGGAGTGAACGATCATGATTATTTTGTATTAGCGTATGGGATATGTCAGGGATCAAATATTTAAAGGTATTTTCTATTTATTTCTATACTTTTCTCCCTGTTGAGATGATAGATTTGATCGGCAATGCGCTATGGGATACACACATATATATTATACATATATATATATATAAGCGGTCGTAAAACCGCTGGTTCCCAGGGAGTTTGTTTACCTGAGCAGGTAGAGATAAATATGATACGTGGCTGATGTACACAATTCCGTTCAAACAGATTTTAGCAGTTTGCACTTGGAACCAACTTGTCACCTCATCACAGATAAGCACCCCTACCACCGCACTGACGGTACCAGAAACATTAAAAGCACGACACTTTCGGTCAAGAGTGTGCGTACGCACTGCTGTTTAGGTACGACCTGAGTAGAACACTCGTTACTAAACCGACAAATTTACTCACATTTTTGTAACGGCGAGTACGAGGGCAACGCGTAGTCGATCTACCGATTCCAGCGCGCCCAATGGACTACTTCAAGAACCATTACTGGTTCCCACTACTCGCTCGAGTACCCACCAGTACCTACTGGTGGTATGGTACCCACTCGACCATCACACTGTTTTTTTTTTGTAATTAAAGCGCGCACAGCCACACTCAAACATACGCACAGTTCAGACGAAATTCCAGGAGAATGCGTTTGTTTTTATTTTTATTATTTATTTTAAGGTGGAATGCTACATATCATATGTATAAATTAACTTAAAACACATCGATAACAGTTATTACAAAGATCGCTATTACTTCTGGTTGTAATGCATCTTTTCAATTAATTTGTTTTTTTTTTGTTTGTTAAAATAACTTTAAAAGAAATAAAATTCAGTGCCTACTATATATCAATATCATATAACACACAACAAAAAATATATATACAAATAAACCTTAAAATGGGCATAAACAAATTCATATTTTTCTTTAGAGAAGAGTTATAGTGACTATTCTTAGATTACGCCATCTGTAGTAGTCATAGTTTACAAATCTCTCTAATCATTCACCCACAACACCTTGATAAAATATTTATTATGGGATATAGAAATATATAGCGTTATACTCAAACGGGCCGCGTACAACTATTATATATGCATATTATATAAGATACATCATACACACATACGAGGATGCACTAATCGCGGGTATTTGGATAAGAACAACGAAACATTCATATATTTTTTGGCTCGATTTTTCATTAATTTTTTTTTATATACTTTCAAAACATACTGTAGTTTCAATCAAGACGAAGAAATTTTGTCTTAGGAAATAAAGTTACATTCTGGTTTGCACAGGAGCAACGCAAACGGAAATCAACACAAACTTACGGTTTTTTTATTCATTTTGTTATATCTACCACCCCTTTTAAATAGAAAGTGTATATTGCGTAGATTTTACGAGCGGGGAGAAGATGGTTAGCTCATGGAGAGCTGACCGAGGGCCAAGAGCCTCTCGACTGCAGCGTTTATGTCGCCAAATGTGGCAATCAAAGCTTGCAGATTGGCCTCCCTGTTTACAAATCCCATAGCAGAGAGTTGTTCAAGCTCAGCTTGGTACCTGGTTTCGGGTGGAAGTGTGTTGTCCTGTCCCATTCCGGCTACCATCCGTGCCATGAACTAAAATATGAAAACTCGATGACTATCAAAAATTATTTCAAGTGGGAAGTAATTTTACCTCAGAGAATGAAGCGTTGTTGAAAGCAGGTGTGCTTGTAGTCGTAGAACTTGTGGTGGTTGTACTAGACGTGGTATTGCCAGTTGTTGTAGCAGGAGGTGGCGGCGGCGGCACAGTTCCAGCAGCCGGAGTTCCCAACGTGTTGACCAAATTTGGAGCAGCAGTGCGAAGGGTTTCCATGGCTTGTTGAATTTGCATGATCGCGTTAAGAGCGTCAGGATTCGTCATTAAGTTCTGAATTTCGGGGTTCTGCATTTGCTGTGTCAATGTAGGAATCATTGAACGCATTTGCTCTTGGTACATCGAATTACCACTGTAAAGCGGATTTTCGGTGACAAGCAAGTTTGCGATATTGGGATCGGCAGCTGCAGCTTGCATCAAAGACTGTGTGTAAGGTGCCTGGAGCATATTAGAAATCAATCTCGGATTTTCAGACATTTGCTGAATCAAACTACGCATGGGTGCATTATTCAAAACACCAGCAGCCGGACGGCTAGCGGGAGTTGTTTCCGGAGCAGAAGATTGTCTGCTGGACCATGGATTTGGTAGAGGTTCACGGTTTTCCGTCCCTTGTTGCGGATTAGCTCCAGTTGTAGAGTTCATAAGACCAGCAAACGGATTTCTGCTGAACTGATCAATAGTTGCGTTCAGCATAGGCTCCTGGATGTCCCTGTACATCCTTTGCAACGCGTTGTAGCCGCCTGGAATGCTCTCCAGGTTGCTAATGGCACGATCATTACTCCTGATAAGTTCCTGGAACATTGACGGATTACGCGCCAACTCCATTGTTTGTCTAAGCAATCCAGGATTGTTTAGCATGTGATTAATTTCAGGGTTCCTTTCCATCAATTCCTGCATCTGTGGATTGCTTGAGATAAGAGTTCTCATATTATCTGGATCACTCATTAATCTCTGTACAAGAGGATTATCAAGGATCTGCCTTAATAGATCTGGGTCACCTAAGATTTCAGACTGTAAGCGGTTCTGCAAATCTGTGAAGTTTGGAGAACTCATTCCCAGGGATTCAAGTCCAGCCAGACCACCAATGCTACCCAGATTGAATGGTGTAGCATTAACATCAGCTGAAATTATAAATCAATACTAGTTGTTACAATGGTTATTATGTTGTATGCTTATTTACCAGGTGCACGTTGTGGACCAGTGCTAGTTGGACGAGTTGCAGCTTTGATAACCAGATGGATAGTCAAACCATCTTTAATGTTTTGGGACTGCAGAGTCTCTGGATCCTTCAGTATTCTGCCAGCAAAGATCAAGCATAACTGCTCAACATCAGCACCAAATTTTGCAGAAACCAATGCTTTGAACTGTAATCAATTGGATAATTATGGGGGTAGTCCTTAATTAGGGTTTCCAGTGGGTGCACTCACCTCCAACACTGTAGCCTTCTCATCAATCTGGAAGACCTCTTTCTCTGTGGGCGTTTTCACAGTCACAGAGATCTTCTTGACAACAGTTGTCTCCTCTTTAGCTGGGACCTCTTGTTTTTCAGTTTCAGGTTTCTGCTTTTCGTCCGCCATGTTACTATAGGGGAATGACTAAGTTAGTTTTTTTTTCGCAAGCTAGTCCCGCCGATTTGCATACAGTACATGGGAAAAGTACAAAATGATAATTGTCTTACCTTGAGTGAGGCGCGTTTACTATGTAGGAGCGTCACAGTCAAACAAATTTCAACTACTTCCAGTACAAGTGAGTACAGGTCTATTCAATCACAACATAATATTACGTTCGCATTTAGAACACTATTATACTGACATGAAGTTGCCACAATCAAAACTTCTTTGTCATATATGAATGCACTGTTGCCATCGTTCCTCACACATAATGCATTTCCTGATTATACAACTCAACAACCATGTCTGATCCACCAGTTTTCTACCACTATATCGTCAAATAATATTACTTGGAATCCTTTGAATTTGTATATTAATATTACCAAATTGTTTATACAAATTCAGAATGAAAGTATAAATAATGTATATGTTGTACTTTCTATTTTTTTCTTTTGTAGATGTGAGGAAACCTTACATAGGGACTACGGATGTAGTCGTGGTACTGTGGGATTTTTACCGCACTAAAACTTCTTCCGTTCTTCCCCAGCATGCAGGACCTGTATAACTATACTATTCTTCGATGATGATTGTCTTTGCCTCTCTGGCACTTCCCCTACATCATGTTAATGCTATCCTCGTAGGCCCTCTGCAGCCATCGCTCGTATTCTTCTTTGCTTAGTAGCACCTCTGATATGTACGCCGCTACAATATCCCAGCTCTTCGCACTCTTCAGCATTTCACTGATAATATTTTCTGGCACTAGCAGGACTCCCAATTCTGCCTCCGCCTTGTGCTTCCTTCCAACCCATCTGCAGCATCTAAAAAGCGTGTGCTCAGGGCTATCGTCCTCCTCACAGTACCAGCACCTTTCATCCTCCTTCTTCGCGAAGAAGTGCAGGTACTTGCCAAAGCATCCATGGCCGGATAGCGCCTGGCACAGGTGAAATGTTGTTTTACCGTGCTTTCTGCTTAACTAAGGCTCTATTTGAGGGATTAGGCGCCAAGCACTTTCTAATTTAGGATGTTATAAAAGCAAATAATATCAAAGAAGCTTTTACATTTTTCTTCTTAACTTTCAGATTTTGATATTATCTGTAAGAATTATATACCAAATACAAATTCACATGAATATTCTATATTTAATTCATATTTCGATTTGTAATTAAATAAACTATTATAATTCTGCACGTTTTGTTCATTATTTACATACATAAAGTGGTATATTTAAGTCTGCAGATCACTTGAATAAAATATGTTTAGAAATAATTTAGAGACTATTTCAAATGTTGAAATCTAAATTTAAATGATGATCATGGAAGATTTGTCACGAAATAATTTGGCAGTAGCAACTTATGTTTATCAAATATTTGCTACTCAGAAGTATTAAATAGAATTAGATTTATAAAAAAAAGTATATGCAATGAATCAACCATGAACATTTTCTTATATCATTTGCAAAATATTAAACTTATGTATTAATGCTTTTATAAATTATAATAAACTTTTTACTGGTTCAGTATTTTAGGTAAAGTATATTCTAGGTAGATGTTTCTTAGAATCGTCCTTTCATCTTCATATTATTGTATTAATTTGTACAATAGACCAAAAACTTTCTACCTGAACACATAACCATTATGTATTTTCAGAAACATCAGTACATTTTCATGTTAACGTTCATCTATATTATAATAATATTATTTGTTTCTATAAACATCTGTTCCCGAAGATTTTATATATAAAGCTTTAAAACGTTAATCCCAGGAGTCGGGATTATTAAAAGCAGCTATTTAGCATTTGTTCTATATTGTTAATTTACATGGTATTATGAAATAAAAATATTATGTTGGATCTACCAATGTACTTAGATAAATATTACAGTTCAAATACAATTTAATATTTGTTGAAAGACATAGTTTAGTTATGGAAATAAGAAAATTATAATGAAACAAAAGTGCCTTAAAAATAAAGCTGAAAAAGACAAGGGTAAAAATGAAAATGTACGAGGTATGGGAAGTACCAATTTATTAATATGCTAAAAATATATTATATATATTAAATATTCACTATAATGAAATATTGCACAGTCACAGTATTAATTAATTCTATATAAAGAAAGAATAAGCGAATGGATTAGAATCTAGTTAAGTCAGAAACGAACAGTGTCATAGTGGAATTATAATTATTTACATTTTGTATGGTTAATATGAATATATTTATATATATAATATAATCTCATCAACAAATTTTGAGTAATTTAAATTGAGCCTCGAATAAGACAACCATAAAATCGAATATACATATGTCCTTATTATCCATCTTTATTCTTTACAACTAACCTAAAACATTGATCTAAGATCTATTTCATTATAATAACTATAATTACTTCTCATCCTTCTCTCTATATCCACCACTTTGTTTCTATTTTGTTTTTGTTTCATTTTTTTTATTCAAATTCAATTATGAATACGATAATTTAGTGGTACCCTAATAATAATGTTGGAAAAGAAAACCTAAACGACAAAACAATAATCTCGTAACATAGGAATGTAGATAAATATATTCACAGTCATATTTCTTTGGCAAATTTGTTTCCAGCTGGGCTGTAAAACTAATCTTAAAATATTCATATTTTCCATTACATCTTATATATATTTTTTTCTGTTTCTTCTACTGCTTACATTTCATATTTTTTTTGTCTGCAAGAGGTTTTTGATATCAAGAAACGAAATGTATTTTTGCTTAAAATCCGTATTTTATACGATCATGCATGGGAACAAATAACAATTCAACAAAGAAAATGGAAGCCATCGGTATTATTAGATTCGTAAGAATTTTCACTCATCATTATTGCAAATCTTTGTTCTGTCCCTTCCTCGTATAGATATAGTAGATATATGTATGCACGGATACCGAAAATTACCAAAAATATTCTAATTTCTAATTTCACAATTATTAGATATCAAAATATTTGTTATATCTTTTGCATATCGTATTACCTTAGTATTTCTGGAATGTCGATATCTAGATCTGTATTATATTTTATCTCTTCTATACTCTCGAATGTTCCTTTCAATAATAAAAACCGCAAACGAAAACGGGTAAAACCGAACTGAAAGAAACTGAATTTATCACAACAATTGTGCAATAACTGGTTGTATGAGACACATATGTTCGGCGCCACGTATGGGCAATCCGTTCAAGGAGAAGTGTCTGATCATCTCTGGTATTGAGCCGAACGGCTTGCTAAATTGGCCAAGGATGAAGGCGTTGCTTCCGTCCGTGTCGTCCCTTTGTATCCTCATATGCATAAAACCCCTGGCGCTTCTGCAAACACTGCATTATTAAACCCAAGTCATAGACAAAGTTCAGAAACTTACTTCAATGACAACGAGTAATCCTGCTTGGTAGACTCACTGTTCCTCACCAGAAAACTTCCCTCTCGCAGTAAACGTAACACATTCTCTGCTTCTACTCGTGTTATAGCTCCATGGAACCATCTATAAAAGTAACACAGTGCATAAACATTAAATTCTATTTAAAATACTATATAATAATCATTATTTACATGTTACCTACAGAATTATAATAATATTATTTTTTAATGATATATCACGATAGTTATTAAAAACTATTAAAAGCTATTTATGGAACAAGGAATAGTCTTATTAGTTAAGGAATATACACAGTGTTAATAAAATAAAAATGAAATAGATAATATATCTAATTTCTAAAATACTGCATTTTCTTAAAAATTAGAGGCAATGATAAAAATCAATAAGTTTATATTATAAAGTTGATAAACTATTCCATAAATGATAGAATTATTTAAATTATTAAAAATATGAGAATAAAATAATTGAGTTTTATACATCAACTTTATATTTTAATTGTTATGTTGGGAGGTACAGCCATTAAATTAAAATTGTTAGGTGTAAAGAACATAGAGTATTACGTGTACATACTGAACTGAGTAACATTAAGATAACTGTTTTATTTTTAGAATAAAATGCCTTGCACTCGGTTAACCTTGGAAACACTGTTACTTTGACTTGTTTCCTAGTGTAGCTTTATTATTATATATAAATAATATGTGTATACTTTTACTAACCCTTGCTTTTCCAGTGGTAAATTTATGTCGATTAGTTCATGTTTTGTAGGACTTTTGATATTTAAGTTTAAGCCCATTCCGATCAGCGACAGACCGAGACCGGGCTTCTTCTTCTGGGTTCCCATATCCGTTAAATTCAGCGTCAATTTCGGTCGGAAACTGAGCGCTAAAATGTAACGAGCAATTAGCAGACGATCTAAGTTTATCGCAGTAGCACCTACTTTGAACGTCTGGGTCAACGACACTCTGGCTGGAAGACGCTTGGGAAACACTCGTTTCTTTGGTAGACTGTTGGATTCGAAGCCGCCTCCTTAACTTTGGCATATCAAATGGCAGATCGCCAAAATCGATTGACGTGGCGCTGCCTGAAGTACAAGCCTCTTGGGCCATGATCCGTCGTCGACGTAATTTCGGCATGTCGAAGGGCAGATCAGAGAAATCTGTCTGCGTTGGCACGGAGATCTCACCGATGGCGAATCTAGACTTATGGCCTTCGCGTGATTGGATTGAGATCCCGCTGTCCGAGCCTTGAATCTCCGGGTCGCCGCTATGGAAGCCCAAGTTTAGTAAATTCTTGTTCTGTGGAAGCCTTCTGCGCGGCTTCGACGTTTCGATCATGACCACTTCTTCGGGTGAGCACTTTTGCGAGTTGTTATTGCGATTGTTATCCGACATCTCGGATACTGGCTCCTGTGAAGACTTGTCTGATATAGGACTGAGTATGTGTAGCTTATTCTGCCCATGGAACACAGTGCTTTGGGCCACTAGGAAGTTGTTGGCGGCTCCAGAGTCGGAGTCGTGTGAGCTCAAGGACGAAGAGTTGCGACTTTCGGTGCTCGTAGTACTCCGATTTCCTTCGCTAGTACTACTCTTGATGCTCTCCATGCTGCCGCCGCTGCTACTTGTTGTCATACTCTCGGTGCTGGAGTACTTGTGTCTTCTTCGGCGTGATTTGAACTCCAGGATCGTACCCTTTCCGTTCTTGGCGCGTTTAAAGAGCAGCAGGTCCTTGCGGGGCCTGTCCTTAATTTCGAGAACGCGGTTGTCCTTAGTGAGCGAGGAGTCCTGGATCTGATGGGGAAGTTGAATGTCGAAAGTACTGCTGCTACTAGTCGGCGAGCAGCCGCGTAATGACTTAATGGGTAGGTGTAAATTCTTCAAGCGGGCCTTGGAATGCGAGGGGAGATTGGGTGCACTACGAATGCTGTTCATGATGGATTCTTTGCCGTGGAATTTTGTTGGCAGCGGGGCCGTGGACGGAGGGGATGGGGTGTAACCGCGAAGTGGCAGAGAAGCCCCTTCTGTAGGCAAATGCATTGTTTCCAACTTTTGGGCTAGCGCGGTGAGGACGGGAACGTCCTCTATGTTGGATTTAGAAGAGTACTGCGAGGCGACCTTCCTCCGACTTTCATGATCTCTTGCGCTTCCGAATTCGACCAGCACCGGGTGGTTGGTCACCTTTTCTATCTCATCCAAATCGTCGTCGGACTTGCTGATCCGACAGTCGAAAGCGGTCTCGTAAACATGCCTCTGGCGACTCATCTCGTCTTCTAAGGCATCGTCGCCATCCACACAAGCGCATGGGGACTCGATGTTTAATCGATCGGCCTGCTCCTGAATGATGCCGGCATCGCTTTTCCTGTATCTGTCATGTGCTAATTGGTACTTGCCTCTCGGCCTGTTCGATTTTTCCGACTGGCTATCCAAGCTTTTCCTGTATTTCTTGTGATAGCTACTCCACGATTTCTGATTCGATTTCTTCCGCTCTTCGCTCCCCTGCCGATCGAACGTCGGCTTTCCGGGATTATGCTCGGACCTGACGTTCTCGCAATATTTCGAGGTGGTCGGTTTGGAGGGCGATTCCAGCGACGCCCGCGGCTTATATAAATCGGAATAATAATAGGGCGAAGGGTGACGTTTTATATCGGCACGGATGGGCGACTGTACGTTCACCAATGGCAATATCGCTTCGGCTATGCTATCAGGGGAGTTCAGCTCTAGTGGAGTTTGAGAGACAGTAACCTGATGCCTGAAAAACTCCTCATCGGATGACGGTTCCGAGGATCCATCTGCGAGCAGGGAGATACCATAATAATATTTACATCCTAAGCACAATGAAATTAAGGGAGAACTTATTAACGGGCACTTTAAAATTGGCCCCAACGTCCCTGACGCAATCTATCTATCTCCATCTCGGAGTGATATTGCATGCCGACGTGTGTGACAAATTCAATTAGCCCGATAATAACGAGAGGGTGGTTCTGCGGAGAAACTGCCTCGGGATTAGAGTTTCAGAGCCGGCAATTCCCAGGAATTTCATATCCTCAATGTACTGGAAAATTGTCGTCGTATATTTTCATACCCATAGTATTATATTTTCGTATAAACCTTAAAGGAACATATTTCTACTTTCCTCTCCACATAATCCAAGGGTTCAAATTATTGATTTATTTCTTATATGAGAATTTAAGCTTTCTATTTATTATATTACTTATATTACTCACCAGTTTTACTATTGTTATTATGTGATTATGTCAATAATCACAGAACTTAAATCACAATTACATAATTTTACAAATCTGAGTAAAAATTTAAAATTTTCGGTTGAGGTAATTTCAATTTTCAGTTTTTTTCAATATAACTAACAAAACAAATGTTAAACAGCAATACCAAACTAACGTTTTTGGGGTGGATTTATTGTTGAACGTCAAAGAAACAGCATGAATCTATACGTACAATGAAATCCAATTTCCATTTATCGAGAAGATAAAAACGCAGGGGAAAAATCGAAACTCTGGTCAGGATTTGGTGGGTGCTGAGAGCGGATATCGAACGCAATTTCCGTTTGAATTACCTGTGGTGTACGGCTGCGAATATTCGCGGTCCGGACTGGTGAGGCATTTTTGGTCTGCCTCCTCCTCACTGAATTGCTGCCTGGAATCCCTTGGCGTCGAGTACGTCTCTAAGATCTCGACCTGCAGTCGACAAAAGGAATGGAATAATACAAAAAATAAAAATAAATATATAATACCGAATACCAAAGCGCATTGAACATGCATGACATAAGGGTGGAAAAGCTAGGGGGGTGATATTTACATTTAGATCGGCTTCGCTGCGATACTCCAATACCTTCTCTTCATTCGGACTCGAGACGTTCCAGTCAGATAAACTGGGTACGGCAATGCTATTTGGTCTTTTCTTGCTCAGGTGGTCCACAGGTAGACTGTACTCGTCGCACACGGAGATCTGCGAAACAAGGAATTACTTGATCAGGTGTGCGCGCTCGACTTAAAGCGTCAGCCCTTAATTACAAAGAGGATCCCATAAATTTGCTGGCAGGACATTAATATATAATGTGCGGGGAACTTTTATGGTTATAGAAGATGTATGGTATAGCGCATCTACCTGGCATGCTCCACTTTTCACATGCCTAACATTTATCTTCCAGATGCGTTTTCGTTTCAATCTCACAGTTTCCTTATGCCATCCATCCTATCGGATTTCATGATATTTATTTTCCACCTAATATATCACCCAACATTTTCTAAAGCTTCTATTATATCATACAACAAATACTATTTCAAATTATTTTATTTACAGTCTATTTTGTAACAATAATAAATACAAATATATAAATACGTTTAATAACTTATATTGTCAAATTTATATGAGTAAGTATTTCATTTCATTTATCTTCTTAAACCTACAAACAAGACTCAGAACAGATATAAACAGTTTTTCTTGTAATATATATACGAAATTATTGGATTTGCATTCAAAGTAACTACATTGTAGAAAAATGTGTAAATATAGAAACGAAAAAGGATCACAAAACTCTTGTTTGTATCAAATAAACAAAGATTAACTAACTACATGATATTTTAAATTTATTCAATTCGAGACAAAATTGGTCTCAAATTCAGTTTCTCAAATTTGTTTACGATAAAATAAGTTAATTATTAAATCATTAAGATTAATGCTAATATTTCAAAAAAATAACACGCAGATTAGTGCAATTTAATTTATGTTCTAATCTTTTAAATGAGATTCTCGATAAATTTTATAAAAAATACAGTTTTAATAGTCCATTAACCTTTAGCCTTACAGTTGATAACAAATACTTTAAGATTTATGATATGCATCCATTTGAATAAGGGGTTCAATTGATCGCGATAAACAAGAAAAAAAATAGATAGTTCTAGTTGAGTTCAATGGTCATTTGAGGCATAAAAATGCTTGTAGTTGAGCGGCCAATAACGCAAAGGATTGAAATTATTAGCATTAGATTAAATTAACATGTTGGATTCATATTTTTATAAAAAAAGATGTTATATAATGTTTTGTCATTGTCAACATAACACAAAAAATGAGATAAAGATACATCAATGCCTGGGTGAGGATGAATGCATCAGGTTTAAGATTTTTCAAATAGCTCGACTCGACAATCCATCATTTAAATCCTTTCTGTATAAAAACAATGGCGAGAGCATCCAAACGGTTAGCTTAATGAAATAGGGCGGATCAAAAACGTGTTCACCTTTCCCTTTGTTGTCTGCATTCTATTATAATCATTGTGTGTAGTTCAAAGAAATATTTTCGTTTGATGGTGTAATTAAAACACGCTATTTTGATTGGATAATTGCCTTGAATGGGCCGCTGCTTTTGTGCTAGAAACTAGGTGTCCCGACATTATGGTATTTCCCACAACGTTCAAAAGGATTTACTATAATTAATAAGAACAGGGGAATTTCATTCAAATACGCAATTTCAATAAAAACAATGTGGCATCACAAGCAATATTATTGATACGAGTTTTTTTATGACCTCTATTTATTTACTAACCTCTGAAGCTTTTTGAAGTACAATTACGTTATCTATCATACAAATTAATTGGATTATCGTTGGCGTTTGAAGTGTATAGCAGATATCCGATTGGAAAATCTATATACTGATAATTCCCGGCTTTATGATGTTTCATCGAAACGTAGAACTTTTCTAATTATGAAGAATTTTAACATCAGTAGAGATTCTATAGAATTAAATAGAAGCTTCAACAAATTGGAATTAGTACTTAATCTCTAATGAATCATCTTTACAAAGCATCTCTGCTCATTGAAAATTAATTAAGGTTTTTTTCAGTTGTCTTAATTGGATAATTTTAAAATATTATATAAAGTGTAAAGAAATAGCAAATAAATAATATTTAGATGAACTATTTGCTTTGAAGATTTGAATAGAACGTGTTAGTAATTCAGTTGGACATTTCCTATCAAGGAAGCAGTATAAAACAGCGATAAAACAAAATGATGGAAGTGCTGGAAGTTATATAGAATGTCAGAAAAGTTGAGCATCATGGGAGCAACGCCGAAGTTATCTGTAAAATATTCATTTCTAGACAGGCTTGGATCTTAATGGAAAAGTACGTGAAATGTGCGGGATGCGATGGATGAGCAGAGGGGTTCGCAAATTCCAATGTCGAATCAATGAGGCAAACATTCTGAAACGTTTAGTTACATTGTGTTCGCATTGATTATTCAAACTTCGGCTCCCGCGAGACCCCCTGAAAATGAGGGACAAACGATCACGTTTAAAAACCATCCCCAAATTACTGTACAATACGTGCGTTTCATCAGCCAGAAGCGCGTGTTTGCATCAACAAATAAGGGGTAGTAGTTTTGGGTACTGATTTCAAAAGTTACATTTTCAATCAGTCGAAAAAAATGTTTAGCAGTGTTAATTTAGGACTAATATTTCGAAAAAATAAATATTATTATAAAATTATTGTATATCTTAAACGTCCGCAAAATATTTCTCATATACAAAAAGGTTAAACAACGCTAGTCTGTACTACACGAGATTAGTGAAGCGAAGTGTAAAAACACCGAGTTTTCTTCCCTGATGTAATGTAAACCCACCTATACAGCATCGCAAGGGATGAAGTATATTTAATTTTTAATTCACTCGTGCCATTTGTTTTCGAATCTAATGGGATTAGTAATACGTCCGAACCGGGGCTTTTGTGCTGATACTGGACACGCAGTAAATAGCACGTCGATTATATCATTGCATGAAGGTACATAGCTTTATATATAAATCTTCCATTCGGTTAGGTTTAATTGTATGTGTTATTTGCATATTCCGTGTCTACGTCAGTTTCATCCCCGGAACTGTTAATCATCCAAACTAGTTAGAACTTGCGTCATCCTTTCATCCGGTTGTTTTTATTATGTCGCTGAGCTATTGCGTGCGGCAAAAACCTTGCTGTTATTTTTAATATCTCACAAGGGGATTCTTTTTTTTTTGCTTCTTTTCTTTTCTGGTTAATTAAGGGGAACAATAACGAAAAACGGTCGTTGATGAATCATCCCTTTACAAAGGCATGCAATCAAGCGTTTTACTTCACTTTAATTAAGGTCGTCTGACAAAAACAAATCAGGAATTGTAATCGGTTAATGATGATGATTACGATCTACGAGGAGAATTGCGACTGGCTCGTTTGGGTAAGATATTTATTCATCTCCATACAAATGCAATTGTTCGACTTTTGTTGACTCCCAAGTCCCAGTAACTATTTTAATCCTAGGCCAACAAAGATCTCAACAAAACATTATTCTTTAGCTTTCTTTTAATTAAATTTGATATACAGTTTAAGTGCTAATTACTCTGAAAAATATGACTCTATTTCTTTAACCATTTTGTTACTTCAAGTTATAATTAAGGTCCATTTGCATTAGATTGTAAATTTCAGGCAAATTTGTGACGTCAGTGTGAGACTGCAAATTTAATAATACAGATTTCGGGCTATTATCGAATTAGACTCTAATCAAAAGATTTCTAAGGTAAGTCGTGAATAACTTAGAGAATTTGTGGCATATTAGTTTTATCGTGACGGTTAGTTAATCGTGATATTGCGTATAGTGACCGGCGTGATTGGTGGTCAAAAAGTGAAACACAAAATAGGATATCCATATTTAATTTCGGGTAAATCAGTCTATTTCTGCTATAGATAATACTGGAAGTAACAACAGTGACTAAGTTAGATAATCCGAGTGAACAACAACAAATGCAAGGTTAAAAACTCGATGGCAGACATGAACAATCCAAGCGATAGTGAAACAAAATCAATACAGAATTGTACTCTGAACCAGATGTATCATTGTCTCGGGTAGGGAGCAGCAAATGGATGGACGGATTATGCAGGCAGGCAACGGGTTCGTGCAAATGTTCGCGTCGCAATTTCAACAAGTTCCATTGGGTTCCCTAATTGGAAAAGTCCAGGGAACTATGGTTCCTGGAGGAGCGGTACCGGTAGGAAATTTTGGAGCGTACATCCTAATTGGCTTCGGAATTGCCGCCGAAGCTTTCCAGATTCTGGCTTCATTAAGACCTCGACACGGATGGGGTGGTGTAGTTTCGCCGATTGGATTATACCGTGTTTCAGTTCCAGCCGAAGAAGAAGAAGGAGAAAAAAAAAATAGATGAAGGCAAAAAAGAAAGGATAAAATTTCCGGGCGAAGGGTGGAGGAGGTGAACGGACGGGGGTGGTCCAGGGCTCGGAGTTATCAAGATTAGTGCTTTCAGCGTGCTAAGCTCCGAGGGCTTTTGTGCTCGAAATGATGTATGGCATTCATTTTGTATCGTCTGGCACCCCGCAGAAAACACCCGCTGTGTCGCGGAATCGCTTACTGCTTTTATTCATTCCGAATTCATAATAACTTTCGCACTATTAAACCAAGGGCTATAACCAACCAACCTGCCTCCACTGAAATTCAATGCCGAAAAGCTTTCTGCATGATCATCCTATTTGATTTATCCATCCGCATCGGAAAAGCTTCGCAGACGATCCACTTGAAAAACTTGCCTCATCCAAACTCTCAACCCTTTAGCTGAACGAGATGTTGTAATCGTTCACTCTCAAGTATATAAGCACAGTGAGTATCTCTTTTATTATTTCTAAATAGCTTTTAACACATACATTCTCTCCTATATCTATTCATTTGGAACTTTCGATCAATCCTCACAAAAGAAATATAGCCTTTTTAAAGCACAATATACAAATAATCTTTTCTTTGTAATAACGAACCTCTTAACAAAACATTGAAAATGGATATTTAATGTTTAAACAATTTTCAATTGATATTTCTCTCTTTTCAAGTATGTATGTTTTGTATTTTTAATTAATTAATTATAATTTATTACATATATCCACACATTATATTTACAATAATAATACTTTAATTTGAAATGAATTGTCTACTTTAGAAAATTACAGTTTAGAAATATTTTATGAACTTATAAGAAAGTTCATAAACTATAAAAAAAGGAAATTCAATTTGCAGCAACGTAAAAACAAATCATTTTCTTGCTCGTAGATTATTTTAGCATTCAGTTATGTATAGCAAAATTGTCTTCATCTTTATTACCTTTTAAATCTATAGTTATCTCAACTTTCAGCTTTTTTATTTGATTCTTTTAGCAAAGGCTTCTGGTTTGTTTTAAAACTTCTCAACTACGGTATTATTTCATGTTTATCCTACAGACTCTCAAGGAAGTACTTTCCGTGAAGCTTCTGATAGCTTTAAAAACTTTTCCTTTGATTGCAAAAAGGAAAACCGTCCTTCAAAATAAGCGAAACGACCGGAGGAATTGCTTTTTAACTGGCAGCTTGGAATTGAGTGTCTATATAACGGTGTCTCTGTAATCAAATTGCTTCGTTCCGTGATGTAAGCATATCCACTTAAAGGATCCTGCCTTTAGGAAACCCCGCATGTTACCTTTTCTTTTCAATCGTAGTCCTGTCTGAAGGTTTCCATTGGTAGTTTGCCAAGATTTAATAAAGTCGGGCATTAAATCATTGCTTAATAAATTAATCGCATTCAAATTTCCCGAAGGCAAACAAAAGGGAGCCGAGGGCAAACAGAATCGAGCAGATTAATGACTCTACACCCCTCGCACTGTCGTCTTTAATCGCGCAATAGTTCTTACTTCAGCGGTGTTTTGTTAACAAACATTGCCGTATCGATTACAAAAGTAATTTAGATGGAAGGACAATAGGACTATTGTTCTGGTGGAACGAAACAGTTTTCCCTCGTTCTCTTACTTTTTCTTCTACTTCAGCTTCTTTTATTTTTCGCTGCGGAATGGCTTGTATTGTTCGGGTGCACGAAGTCTGGACTTTCAACTTTTCTCTTTCCACCACTCTATTCTGTTCATCCTTCTCGTACCTTTTTCCCCTTTCTCGTTTGTATGTGTGCGATTTTTTCATTTCTCCGTTCAGACCATTCTTTGGTCTTCGGCGAAACTAGCAGTTAGATTCAATAGGTGAGCTTTACTTTCGGAATTGCGATGGATGAGACCGAAGGGGGATGCGAGCATGAGTTAGGGCTAACGGCCGAGAGGGAGTAAATTACGAGCTGTAATGTGATCTAGTAGCCATGTACCGGGTGTAGAACAGCGGTTACCATACGTGACCAGGGTACAGAACGACCATGATCAGATCGTGGTTTACACAAAAACTAGTATTCGAAATGTCCTGCAGGACTTGAGACACTTGTAGCCAAATATTGATACAATTAATGTTTACTATTTTTCGAGCCATGTGGATGCGATGCGATTTTGCGTACTCACCCCTAGGTTGGAAAGAGAACGAAATCCAGAATGGAGCTTTGCCGCAGCACCGGTTCATCAAGGATCCGGGACGAACTCGGGAAACGCACCTCCGAAGGTCCTGCAGACACCGCGACGTACATGCACTTAATGCCTTTTTCGGGGAAAACGTGTTTTCCCTTGTTTAGTATGGGAAGCACTGTGGAGAGAGTGAGTCATCCGCTATTTATAGAATTGTAAGCCGTGACATCAGAGGAATCCAATGGGTTTTCCGCACACGAGCTTGCGCGCCAAAGGCACACAGGATCGATTCGTCCTGGCGCAGGAGCAGCAGCAGAATTCACCCACTTTCATTCCCGCTCTGAATGAGAGCGCGGCGCTTCTTTGATGCCGCATGCAGATGTTTTATGGATCACCTCCCATTTATATCACCCATTTTGAAACATTGCCAGAGAGGATGCCATAGCTATTCTCTCTCTCACACTCAAATGCTCTCCCCCTAGAATTATCCCCGCAAAAACCTCTTCCCTTAATCATCTTTCATCTACTCTTATTGTTTTTTCAGATATATATATATTTTTTTCATCACAGAGGAATGCCGAAGCATTGGTCTGTCGAGATTGTTATTCTTAAGTTTATTTAAATTGTTTATGTGCATCTTCAATTGATGAATTGAAATTCGAGCTCGGATCAAGTAGTTTACAATTGATAAGCCTTTATAAATAGTTATGTTTATCGGAGCCAATTTGTAATCCTAGGTCGATACCCTTCCCACAAATACAAATAACAATTGGCGTCTGTGTACTTGATCATTCTTAAAATTCAGAAATACTTTGTACCATTTCCCTCGCCCGACAAAGTAAAGCCCATCAACAGGTCGTGCGTTTTTATTTATTTATATTTAGTTCTCGCGATGGGTACAAGAATGTGTGTCATGGTTTTGTCTGTCATTTCGTGTCATTATTGTTTTATGTTTTTGGGGATGTCTAGGATGTCTTTATTTGGTTCATTAGGATCGAGGGTAGTCTGTGAATTGTAATGTGGTGGTTCTAAAGTGACTGACCTTTTTTTCGAGGGTCGATACTTCATCGCCTCCGCGGACAAACCGTTCAAATTTGAAGCTGTTGGAGCGGTACAGCTCGTTGTCACACTTCTTGTTACAAAAGCGTTTGGTTAATGCCCGAGATTTGCACGATTTGCAATCCCTAACCGAATCCCAATCAATATTAAACAAGCCGCGTGTCTTTTTACTGGAGGCGGCTACGGCGACGGTGGTGGTGGTGCTGATGGGTTTGTGGGTGGCCCTGCGGCGGGACTTGCTGCGGCGTCGGCGACGTCCCTTCGCGGGGTCATCATTGTCCTTCGGTGCGGAACCGTCGGCGATCGTCCTTTTCGATAGACCAACACGTTTCAGGACCTTGTCCATATCGCCGTGGCTCGGTGCGTGGCTGCACCTTCACTGCTCCGAGAGACCAGATAGTCGAGCGATGAACACGCGCACTCCGCCACAGGGTTGACTACCCCAACTCGCTCTCGCGCGCTTCCACGCCGACAGATTGATGATAACAATCCATAAACAAAGCTTCTATACTCAAACAAACTCGCAATTAACATCGGGATGTTCCGTTGTTATCTACATGACAATTCATCATCATATTGCTCTATCAATATCACTCGTTAATTGCTTTATTAAAACGCACGATTTCTATAACGATGAAGACACAATAATCGCTTCTTTGTCTCCAGCTGGTATTATGGTGTTTCCAACCGTCTAGCAGACTGGAAGGAGTCAAAATAAAGAAGTACATTTTGAATAGCCTACATTTCCGAATAGGAAATACATAACAAGGATCAATACCGGAAAAGCAGGATATTCGCATGTCGACACGTTAATTAAAATCACAATTGATTTTCGTCATTAGACATAAAACTAATTATATAAAAATAATAATTTCAGTAAATTGTACGTGTTATATAAAAACGTATAAATGAGGATTTTTATTTTGTGTTTTTAATAAGATTACTTAACAATTTACCAAATCATCTTATTTCTTCCAGAATAAACTAAGAAAACAAGTTTATAGTATAAAGTAATTCATTGAAAAAGTAATTTTCTCTTAATTCTCTTAATATTAAAAAAAATATCAAAATATATTTTTTATCAAATTGAAGCAGTAATGACTGAAATTTGTTTCCTCATTTTAATTGTTATTAAAACAAATATTCTACGATACATTAATGTTTTTGCCTGCAAAAATATGCTCAGTACCGTTCCAAAATCTAATCAATACATTTTATGTACAAGAAATGTGCGCATAATGTTTTTACAGAATGATTTTTCTATTAGATTTTTTTTAAATCATTTTTCTTATTTCAAATTAAAGGTTATTAAAATCATGAGATTCATTGCAGCAGTTAACTAATTTTGTTTTTTTTTATTGTTGTAAAAAATAATATTATTTAAATTTTGTTTTGCAGGGAATTGACCTGTAACAAATTATTTTGAATCTGAAATCTATATTTCAAAATATTCAAATAGTATTTTTATTTATTTTTAATTGTAAGATATGTGTCAATTTTTTTTTTGACGAATATGTAATAACTAACATGAAGGTCCTGGATCCGGGTCAAAAAAGAGCAACAGAGCAATAATCTAAAATTGAAAATTAGAAATATAGACTCAAATAATAAAGACATTGTTATATATCAAGTGATAATGAAAATACATATATGTATATTTGTTTCATAAATATGTATAAATATATTTTGATTCTATATGAAGAAACGTATGTAGTTAACAATTGAATATAACCTAAAAGGTGATGACCCACAGTTATGCACAAGCATTATCGATACATGGACATAATATACATTTTATTTATAAAAAATATCTACTTGTTATTATATAATTCAACGTATCATATTTTACTTTTGAGTTAATTAATCCTATTTGATTATATTATAGTTCTTGATATTTGAAACTTGGATTTTGTTACACAGTAGAATACGTGGACCGATGCATAGTCCTGATTTAATAAATCATTATGTCATATGAGAATAAAAAGAAGTATATCGTGGGAAAAATCTGGCCCGCGGGCCATCAAAAGACCACACCTTTTTATAGTAGCATTAGCTAAATGTCTTAAAATTTGTAAAAGTAAATCTCTGAAATGTCAATGTTTTATTGCTTATATAATAAAAGCAAATATTAAGATATTTTTTGTAAATATTAAAATAAATATCTAGGAATACAAAATGCCGTCAATCGTAGTTTTTACTAATTTAATTTAACCATTTTTATGATTATTCTGCGCCTGTCATAAGAAAAGAATTTATTGCGTTGCCTAATACCATCAACAAAATTAACTACTAGCAATGACTGGCAGTTTTATCTTATGTATGTATTAACAATAGCATTGACCTCAAAACCATTGCACTGACTATTAAATATATAACTTTCTGATGTAACTTCGGAGGTTTTTATATTATCCAGCGAATCTCAAACTTTTTTCTTGTAAATATTGATATGAAAGCGAATTTGAAATAGTAAAGAAAAATACCCAGCATCGAGAAAACCTTTATTAAAACTCTTTTACATAAAACAACCGATATATCGAGTTTACATAACATTTTCAAAATGGCTTATGGTAATTTGAATTTATGTATGCACGTGGAAACTAACGATTTATTTTATATACTGTTTTGTTTCTTTGATTATCATTACATTTGTGGAAAACCAGGTGATCACATCACATTATGTTGTTTTTTTTTTAGTGTTACAGGAATGTCTGACAACGTTTCTAAACAATCATAAATTTCGTAATGGAACGACCAAAAGTAAATTTTAATGTTGAGAAAGCAAAAAAAAAGAAAAGAATTTCTTTTATGGAAACGTTTTGATGTAATAATACCTTTATTAGCAGATATTTTGTCAGGTTTGCATTGAAAGACAAAGAATAATATAAACAATTAATTTTCATTTGAATCTGGTGAACTAATAATAATACAAAAATATACAAGACATTGTACGAACTCGCACAAATCTAGAAACTAACAAATGAAAATAAACTCAAATTGAAACACTAAGTTATGATCGAGTATAAACATTTATCTATGAAAGAAGGAACATCGTTACTTAGGTACATGAGACGGCGACAGATAACTTTAATAAATGAATGAAAGGGACTTATAAATGACATCAATTATAACAGGACGAACAAATTGTTTCTTTTGTTTTATTCGCTTCATATGATACAAAATGATAAGAAAATTGCTATAAATAAATTAATTAATTTAATTTTTTGTTAGAAAACGCTATAACCCTTACACGTACCAGATAAAATGCGGTATATTGGACTTCAAATAAACTTTATTAATCTCTTTGTACACTCTTATTTATATATATTTCTTTTGTTGTTGTTATTTTGTTTGTCTTTAAGTATAATTTACACAGATGAAAGAACTAAGAAAAATCACAGCAAATAGATTTACTTTCTTAAACTTAGTCAATATAGATATACATTTATCTTGTCCATCCATAGCAACGTTCCGTTTAATACACATATACCACCTTTCATATATATATATATATAATTTTTTTTTCCTTCTCTTTTGTTATTATGAATCTTATTATACAAGTTGAAATTAAAATTATACATAAAAAAAACACATAAAAATAACAATGTCTATATATATATAAAATTGGTATCTACGTATAGATATCAATATTTATAATTAAAAGAATCCTGAATATGGTTTATATAATACGTTTTGTTCCACAAATAATTCAAACTGGTGAATTTACAAGGTGAGTGGACGACAAAGAGAGATAGATACGGCAAAGAACAAAATCATAAATATTTAGAGAGACCCATCGTATAGTAACCGCAAATAAATAAAAATGTTTGAATTTGTGCAGAGCCACGCACAAAATAATTACATGATACTTGTGACTTGTCACCGCGGAATAATATTATTATGTTTTACTTTGAATACAATAATTTAGTACCTAGAAAAGTTGAGACACGTACTTTCACATGTACGTATAAGGGTTAATTTAACAACTTTGTTCAATGGAAACAAATTTATGAAACAGCTTTCATATATATATATATAATTTTCATTTAAGTATATTAACATACGGAATTATATAAACAGTTGTATCAATATAATTTCGTATGTGCTATACATATAAATTCATCCAAATTCGTTTATGTATATATAGATATATATATGCAAAAGTTTTTTTTAAGAGAGTTCAACATTCGAATGTTGAATGCAAATAATTCGTTTAAAACTATGTATGCAATAAAAAAAAACTTACAAAAAAGTTTTATAATAATCAATTAAATGAACAACTAGGGGGGGCTGAAAACAAAATGTAAAATAAAGACGAGCTGCTTTCCTTCCTGTTTCTTTCGTTTGCATATATCATCTTCCTCGGTTTGCCTTCGCCGCGGCAATGTCAAAAATATATATATATATATACACAAATGTTAAACGTTATTTACAAAAAAATATTATCAATGACAAATAAAACAAGAAAAATAATCATCAGCGAAAATTTAGGAAAAAAAATACAGATTAGGGAAATGTATAGTAAGAAGGTTATTTCTGATCTTAGTTCTTGTTTTTTTACATATATATATATAGTTTCATATTTTGTTTTCATTAAATAACATCTATCGAGATTGGGGGGAGGGTTTATAGTTAGATGAGTCGTTTCTTCGAAATGCAATAAATAACAAAATAATAATATAAATGAAAGGATTATGATTAAAATCGAAATGCAAAGAGCTTGATTCGTATGGTCTCACAAAACGAAATTTGATGATATCTATGCGACGATGATTACATCTAGATTAAACATTTACTCTCCGCTAAAAGGGGGAGACGCAACGCGTCTTCATATTTTTTTTTGCTTACAATCATTATAATATATATATTTTTTGTGTTTCGCTTCTTTCCATTTTTAAATGTTCGTTATTTTCTTCGCGCTTTTCCTGTTAAAGACGATTAGACAAATTTTGGTGAAATACTGAAGTCTATATATGTAAGTATATATATATATGGATATATATATAATATATATCACAGGCAGAGGAAAACGTAAACAATTTTGGCGGAAACAGGGACAGTACGCGGTGTCGACTGTGAACAGATCTACAGTATTTCGTGTCCATGACAGCCCACCACAAATCACCAACCCCTACCCGACATGTCTAGTTCTTAATACAATTTATTTATATTTATAACTATGTACAACTGGATCAGATCTCTACCGTGACAGATATTTTTCTTGCTTTCTGCTTTTTTTTCTCTTGTTGCTTATAAAATATATATATATATAAGTACATAAATATATATTTCAATATAAACAGAAAACGTGCGAGGAAATAATGAAATAAATAAAAAAAGTAATGAAAATTGCTTATAAGTGAACCGATGGTTTAATAAATAAATCCGATACATTACATGCACAGCAATGTAAAAAATTTACAAAATCAAGTGAAGTCAAATTGATAATCCTTAAGTGGATCGTAATATTCTTCGTAAAGAAATCATTAATACAACAAAATAAAAGTGAATGTTGTGTATATATATATATATAAATACACACAATTATGTCAAGTATCAATATAAACTATATAGTTCGTTTGTTGTGTGTATATATACATATAAAGAAAATGTAAGTATATAAAGATTGATAAGATAAATAAAAAATATTCGAACTGCCTCGCCTATATATAAAAAACATAATAATAATAAAAAATAAATACTTTCCAAAATTTTCCAACAAATATCAAAGATTTAAAAAATATCTGTCAATATATGCGATCTGCCTTTCACGATAGTCTGTTTTTTTTTTGTTGAATATTTTTGTTTTACACTATTTTCCTTATAACACAAGTATCTACTTAAAAAATAATATCTGTACAGAATCTACAATACAAAACTGTTTCTTCCATCTTCTCAAATCTTACAAATGATAAAGAATACAATAAAGAAACTGCTCTTTTACAGTATATACAGTAGCCATTGTTACTTAATTTTTTTGTTTTTTGTTTTTTTTTCCGCTCACTCGTGAAAAATATGGTCAAATGGATAGGGGGAAAACAGTGCACGGCAGTAGGAACATGAAACGCAGGGGACAACGTCCTGTCAGTAAATCGGTGGGTGGCCCCACAGGCAGGCCCACTCCTAGCTGCGCTTTGAGGCCATTTCTATTCCGCTCAACATGTATTTTACTTGTGGCATAAATTCAATCACGTTGCGGACTTGGACGAGGGGGCAGGTGTCATTCACACCCTGTATTTTTCCATTTTCTGCAAGCACTTGCATCTGGGACCTACAAAAATAATAATCTATTAACAGTTTGTTCTTTTAATGATCAGATTAAGCAGATCCAGCTCGAAGTTTTGGTTACAGGTTGATGTTATTAACCATAAGATCAACCTGCAACCTGGATGAAGTAGCCACCTTCCATGCGACGCAGGTCATGTTATCACCTCCGCACCATATTTGTTAACTCAATCTGTCATAACAACAAAATTCAACATGATTAGTATGCCTCTACCACTCATTAATAAAGTACACGTTCCAATACCAAAATGTTCTTCTTAAAGCAATGCAGAAATGTCCATGATTATTTCCTTATTTTAAAAAGAACATAAACATAACAATTTATAGTAGTAAAGTAGTATTATAAACAAAATTATTTACATAAGAAAAGAAATACAAATAAGAAGAAATACATAACACGTTATTCAATATTGTATTTACATGTATGCAATAAATTATTATTCGTATAAATACAAAAACCGAAAATTAGTTTACAGCATAACGCTATTGATTTTATAGAATCTCATGATTATGCAACCTATGCTTTTGTAAGAACGATAAACATAACCAAAACATTTGATCAACGCCTTGTTTTTAGTAGACATTTATTTTATTTACAAGATTCTCTAAGTATCTATTAAATAAAAGTGGTTTTATTAATGAATTCATATTTATAAACACTGTACATTACAGACTAAACAAAAGAAATTCATTGATTTTATGTTTACCTCGCATTTAATCTCTCTTCTTGTCGTTTAATTCAATTTTTTTCAGGAATATCAACAAATTAGGTCAATGCAATCATTATTTCATGTTACCTTATTCGCAAAATTAACAAATTCATCATCAAATTGAAAAAAAAAAGATTCTCTTATAATTGTTAGAATTAATCGAAATTTGCAAATAGCTTCTATCGTTGACAATATATTATGCACTCAATAACAAACCATTTAAATACTTTATAAAGTTTGTAATATTGGAAATCGACACAGGTATAAAATTATGATGCGTTGTAAAGTACAATTACTTAAAATTGATTTTTCTATTAACGATGTAAATATTAAACGGTGTATTTCTATGCAAATGCAAATCTTAACATTCTTTATTACAGAAATCAAATAACTAGTTAACGCTTACTTTGATTGCAGTATTCACATAGATATAGATCATTGAACCGAGGTACTTGTAATCGATGGCCTATTGGCACCAAGTCTCGTAGCCATGCATTTTTAATTATATTTCATTTAATTCAATCATGTTGAATAAAGCCATCGGCCAGACACGAAAACAAATGGCTTCCATCGAACAAATTGGATTGTTAATGGGTTTTTCACATATGAATGAAGAAACCGTGGCTAAATTTAAAAAGGTGCATTTACGGAATGCACCAAAAGTTATGCATACATGCGATAAAATCATTTTCCGAAATTATAAATAGCTCTGGACCCTGACACGAATGCCTTGGTTTCTGGGTGTTGTTATTACATTTTTTGCCTCGTTATTTCAAATTTGAGATCAAAATAATGCGTAACACATTCATTCTTTTGATAATAATTAGTAAATATCCGGTAAAAAAAAATAAGACAACAAACGAAATCTAAATAGTACAACTGACGTTATGTTGTTTATCGATAATTATCTATGGATTGAATATCCAAGAACAAACAATTTTTAGGTGAAGAAAAGTGACGTTAAGCCAAGCAAAACGGCATAGCAAAATAGTCCTTTACTTTTAATTATCCAATCTTGCTATAGGGTGTATGAGTGGCAATAGGAAAATATGATACAACTTACGTGTTTCCTTTGTAGAGATCGATGCCCAGCACCTGCAGGACTTGCTGGCAAGAATGTATTGGTACATTGTTGAAAAAACAATTCACCAAATCGTTCAGTGTCACCAGCAGATCGGTATACACATATGGTTTCATATTGATGGCGTTAATCATTTTGCCTTCGATTACAGCCTTCTGCATCTTGTAAGGAATGTGCGATCCACTTGTGGGCGTATCAGGGATTTGGACCATTTTCCTGAGGCTATTCATTCGACCATTGGTTCTGTCATCTTGCGTAGACGATGCTTGGGATCTTGGTTGCTGCTGCTGATGCGCCGGCTGCTGGTTGATAAGTTGGTGATTGTTGGCACTAGAATGAACACTGACATAAAATAAAATGTTTACTGCATTAGTTCGAACAGACCTACATTTAGTTAACTTACTGCATTCTACTACAAGTTATATCTCAAAATGATACAGAACCAAGCAAGACATGACGATTACATTAACTCTACATCCCGAGCCGATCAATTTCAATCGCTAAACTAAACATTAAAACGAATTAAGGCTTTCCAAAACAAGTCAAGTCTTTGTAGTGATATTTCAGTTAACTAAACTGCTCTTAAACGAACACATTTATACAGTGTGTTAAGCACACACGCAAACAGTCATCCGATATTAGTCTTGAAGACTATGTATGTTTCTATTGCTATATGTTATCCTTATAATTAAAATATATTTATATATATTTAATTTTAGTTGTAATACCTTAGATCTACAACTTCGGAACTGTAAGTATCATAGCGCATTCCTCCATTTAAATGCCGTACAGGTATTAGGGGTGGCGGATATTTGTGCAGACTTTGGTGTCTGTAATTATCTCCCATCATCATATAATTAGCAGCCGTCGACTGCGAATTTGTGTAAGCTGATCCTGGCCTATAATTCAAATAGTAAGGAATCTGCCCACTGATTGTTTGGAAACCTTTAGTTCATGCAAATACAATAAATGTAAACAGTGATAGAAAATGTATGGTTGGTACTAACTAGAGAGGGATCTCAGATTTAGCAAAAAGAAAAATAGGAAAGGATTAGACACAACTATGAGAATGTTAAGCGCGTCGCAGCAAATGTATATGTGTACTTCTGTATTGAAGAAAGAGAATTTTGGAAAGCCTGCACCACTTTTAATATTTGATTAAAATAACAAACAAGTAAAAATGATAGGATCAGAACTTGCTCCGATGCGCCAGAGCACATTCAATTTCTATAGAGAGAAGTTTCAATTAATACTACTGTGATTATTAACTCACCATTCTTCTTTTAGATATCCAGGATAACTATTATGGGGTGAGAATTAAATTAATTAATTAATATTAACTAAGCAACTTGTGATGGGATGAGGATTGTGAACTAGTATCTTATGAATATGACTTGTATATGTATATATGTAATATTTCTAAACTGTATCTGTAAAACTGTGTAAAAGTGCAACATGTACTTGTAACTCACCCTACGGATCTAACCAGTGGTGGTGGAGTTGGTCCAGGTGCCAAAGCTGCATAATTGTAGGCAGGTCTACTCTGTCTGGCACTGGTAGTGACAGATCCATAATTTGTCCTTACTGCAGAGGCTGCTGTCCTTGGCTGGTATGGTGTTTGTGCAACACCTAAGTTGTAATTAGAGTACATAGACTGCACATTGTGCAATTGAGTTATATTTGCAGCAGCCTTTGCCTGTGTTGCTGGTTTGGGGGATGGTGGAGGATGAGTGTTTATAGGTGGTCCTACTGGCTGTCTGGTCCATTGCCCCACTTGAGTTTGACTGGCAGTTTTATTGGTAATCAAGAATTGTGTATCTACCATTTTTTGGGGCCAATAATCTTCAAAGGTAGTTCCAGGTGGGAAGTAATTTTTTATGTCATTTAAACTAATAACAGAACAGCTATCATGTGCAAACAATTCATTGCGTATTCCCTGCACTTTGCAACAAAATTTCAAATATGATAAGTCCCATCCTTCCAGTTTATTAGCTCTCAATTTCAAATTATCAGTTTCACCTTCGAAATAAAATAGTGGCACAAATTTGTCACTGTTATAAATAGTATAAGGGACAACAGATTCCTTATTAATTCTTATAAAACCACATCTATCCAATGGATTCGAGCTACCATTCAACAATTTAGAATAACAAGCATCAAGGAAATTATAAAATTCAACTGCATCACTGAGTCTAACTATCAAGTCCCTTCCTGTGAATTGATCCCTGCCAAACATCGAGTCACAATGGATAAAATTAATCTCATTTAGCAACCGGCCTTCTGCCTCAGTAATATAATAACTCCTGATGCATGTACAATTGTAGATGTCTTGGTGTAAAAATGTTAAATATTTGTTCAAAACTTTCATCTCCACCATTCTAACTGCACAGTACTTATCTTCTCCACGATAAATATATGGAATGTGAACCTTTCCCAAAGTACTCCATCCAAATTGTCCTTTCTGAGATCGATCGTCTAGCACTGGATTAGGTCTCTCAATAGGACTTGAACACGAATCACCAGTGGGCTCCAATTTACCCTTGCCATTAGTCTTCGTTAGGTAGCTCAGGATGCTGCCTGGATTGGGTGAGCGACCGGCACTGCCTGTGCCTGACCTTCCTGCAATGGGCATCTTGGCCTTCTGTGCCTCAATCAATTTCGCTGCCATCTCATTGATCTCAGCCTCATCGTGCCTCTCCTGCTTCACGGAGCTACTCATCTTCCACATGTGTAGATATAAATGTCAAGCACAAACAATTTGTAGCTGTTGTGAATAATATGATAATGTTTCAAGTATCTTTCTATGTGTGCTCTGTATTCATATGTATGCAGACTACATAATAATTGGTCCTGTGGTAGAACTGCTCAGGCCTGTGCTCCCTGTGCTCTGGTTAATACAGACTCAAATAATTCAGAAAGCGTCATTGCACAACGACGGTGTTCACTTGTTTACTATAGTCTTAAATATAGGTTAGATTATTTCTCGAGTAAGTTTTTAGCGGCCATCGCAGAAAAAGAAACACTTCTCTTTAACCGTATGTGCAGGCCCACGGCGGTGCGATTCTCAAGCCGAGCGAACCTCGGATGAATCCCTTACCGATCTCCCACCGATTTCTGGCACGGCACGGCGTTAACGTTAACTGCAACGATCGCCGCTTTTTCAATACAGTCAATTCGGCCACTAGAGGCACCAACACTTCTCACTATATACTCCTTCCTTCCTTACGGCTGGCGGCTTACGCTTACACTGTACACTGCTAGCAATTGTTCCGCTACCCTCGCACGCGGGTCACCAGCACTACTAAGGATATTCATATATTTTTAGTTAGCAATATGGCCGCCCCGAGACGCTATCGACCAATCAGCAGTCGCCGCCGCTTCTGACAACACTTCGCTGCTGACGTCAGTCAACCCCTCGCGAGACTATGTACAGCTTTTCCAAGGTCCCACCGGGTCCCGCATCCGACTTCCCGCGCTTTCAAGGATCTCCGACCCAGGCACAGGCCGCAGTAGTCATCCACTCGATCCACCCGCCTCAATTCCTACGCAGCTTCCCTTTCGCCGCCACTGCCACAGCCACTGTAAATCGCCATGTTTCAATAAAGTTGCTTTCGACGGGGCGATTCGACAACGAAGAGCAACGAAGAAAACAGAAAATAGGAGGAAACGAGCAAAGAAAACGCACTCGTCTTATGTTCAACGAAAAAGGCTCACTTGTAAATTCAAACAGTGCGAAAATGCGCTTGCGTCTCTGCAACCTCCTCTTCCCTGCACCGTTGCCTAGATCTGGACGAAAGGAAGAAAAAAAAGGGTCGGATAAGAATAGCGGCGTAGGGCTGGAAATGCTGCAACGTGCGCTTTTCTCTCACGCGTTACGTGAGCAATATACACGCGCGGTGGAAAAGCAACCGGTGACCTTCAATTATCACCGTCAAAACGATAAACCACCCAACGGAAGAAATTAAAAAAATACGTAATCTTATACTCCCACCTGCTTCCACACAACCCTTATCGGGTTTGCGACCAATCAGACGCGCTCGCCTTATCAATTCCCAAATACCTTTTTCGCTCCCCTTCGGCAACTAATTTCATAGTCCGCACACGCCACTGGATTCGCCTATTTGAGATAATTTTTTATCTCAGGAAAAAAAAAAACAGAAACAAGGAAGTCGACAATATACAAATGAAAATATTCTATTTTTAAATTGCAATCGAATTTTCCTATATGCGTTCAAAAGAAAAGTGTCTACGGTATTTTAGAACCTGTACCACTAGTGGAACAAAGAAAGAAAATGCACATATACATATAGTTATATAGTACAATATAAATATGTATATACTATATATATATGTATATATATATATTAACATGACCATTACGTAACAATGGGTTTGGATGGTGGGAGGTGCTGTGCGCGGGCGCGACCACACCCACAAAAAAAATGAGTCTTGCGCACAGTGGTTCATACATATTAGTGGTACCCCTCTAGAACGGTATTGCAGAGATGTTATATAGCGATAGTGATAACATTCTATTGTAGAAAACTTATTTTATGAGTCATACGTGTCAGCGCGCGTGCGCAATGCGAATCGGACCGCGGAGCATGCGTCGCCGCTAATCACCTGTAATTAGAATATTTCTATTAGGCGTACGCCTATGACCCGGACGTTACAGCCGAAATTTCCCGCATATTCTACCGTTATGTAACAGGCAGATCCTATACTATGCGCAACTATTAACAATCCTATTTTTCATATTGCTGTATGGGGGGAATATACATATTTACATACATAAACATATACATATATTGGCATATGTGTCTGTTTGTGCATAAGAAAGATTTTCATTGTGGGGGCGGTGGGTGGCGTTGTATAGATAGATGAGTTTATTGATTATCTGTTCGGCGATTGTTGGTATCGAGTAGCGGCGTACTGTGGGTCGGGTCATTCGCTCAGGTCGCGGATCCTCGTGCGCCCTTCGTCCACCGGATCAGCGATTCGTATAAGCTCGGCGGCTCGGCAGACTTCGCGTTGTTTGACAACTCGCGTGACGTCACGCTCAACATTGGTTCAGTTGGTAATGCAATAAATCCGTACTTTGTGTGTATGTGTGTAGTATATCCGTATCGCAGGGAAGTTCACTTTTGTGGCCGTTTCTCATTGAGGGGATATGTTGACGATTCTTTTCGCCAATTTGTACGGTTTGCAGTAAATACATAAGGTCCACGTTCGGTGGTCACATTCCGTCCTGCATCTATCTGGACGGCAAAGATGGACTATGAGGATGAGCAATACGACGAAGTTGATTCTGGCAACGAATCCAGTGAGGATGATGTCGATTTTGCAATGGATGATGAGGTTTCCGTGCACAGAGATAAACAAAATGATTCGGACGACTATCCATTTGAGGTTTTGTCCACCGAGGAGATCGTCAAACACATGGTGGACTGCATCAAAGAAGTGAACACTGTTGTTGAAGTGAGTGAGCTCCGTTTTTTTTCTCCTCAATTGTCTTTGTATCGTTAGCTTGGCTCCGCTTTTTCATCAGTTTCCTGAATCCTTTTTTGGCCCACACAAGCTGTCAATGAAGTCACCTTATCAATAATAACAATGGAATTATCTCTTACAGATGCCAACTACAGTTACCAGAATCTTATTGAATCATTTTAGATGGGACAAGGAGAAGTTGATGGAAAGGTTTTATGATGGGGACCAAAAGAAACTCTTTTTAGAAGCCAGAGTGATTAATCCATTTGATAAAATAATTCCTTCAAAAATATCTGTAAGCACACACATACACTCACCTACAGTGGATGGTTTATAAATATACCATATAATTATTCTATTTTAGACACCGAGGATTATAAATGGAACCGAGGAATGCGAGATCTGCTTCATTGTTTTCCCTTGCTCTGTAAGTGTTATTCTTATAGGATTCATACCAACTGTGATCACCCACTTTTAGCACATGACTGGTTTAGAATGTGGCCACAGATTTTGCACCCTATGTTGGGGAGAATATCTAACCACCAAGATTATGGAGGAAGGTGTAGGACAAACTATTGCCTGTGCTGCCCACGGATGTGATATCCTAGTTGATGATGCAACTGTCATGAGATTAGTGAAAGAATCTCGTGTGAAAGTTAAATATCAGCACTTGATCACCAACAGCTTCGTTGAGGTAACATAAACATCATTTCAAGTTTTCAATGTTGTTTATGAGTACAGAAATATGCACAGTATGCTATTTCTGTACTCAAAAACAACATTGAAAATTTGATAAGATAAATGTAATTTGATATGCAACATTTATGGTTCAATTGAATTTGATTTATTATTGTTGAAAAATAATATAGATTTATATTACACCACATGTTATTGTTATTGCATATATAAGATTCATATTCTAATTTCCTTTCATATTATTTACAAATATCGAACATCTTGTACTTTGAACATATTTTTTTATAGAGGATTTATTGTGATGATTAATATTTTTTTTAAAGATAGAATTTATTTGTAAAGAAAACAATTGTTGAAATTATCTTATTGGAAAATGTCCAGTTATTTTTTAATGAAAGGGAATTGGAAATGTTTCTCTTATGAATGAGAGTTAACACTTGTTTGCTAATTGATTGTTTTAGTGCAACAGATTACTAAGATGGTGTCCATCGCCGGATTGCTGTAATGCTATTAAGGTGCAATATGTAGATTTTCATAAGGTTCAATGCAAATGTAATCACACGTTTTGCTTCGCATGCGGTGAAAACTGGCACGATCCTGTGAAATGCCACCTACTACGAAAATGGATCAAGAAGTGTGACGATGATTCAGAGACTAGCAATTGGATAGCAGCAAACACGAAGGAATGTCCTAAATGCAACGTAACAATCGAGAAGGATGGCGGCTGCAACCATATGGTTTGTAAGAACCAAAACTGCAAATCAGATTTCTGTTGGGTGTGTTTGGGCCCGTGGGAACCACATGGTAGCAGTTGGTATAATTGCAACAGGTACGATGAGGATGAGGCTAAAGCAGCTAGGGACGCTCAGGAGAAGTCGCGTTCGGCCCTCCAAAGGTATTTGTTCTATTGTAACCGTTATATGAACCATATGGCTTCGTTAAAATTCGAGAACAAACTGTACACTTGCGTCAAAGCAAAAATGGAAGAGATGCAGCAGCACAACATGAGCTGGATCGAGGTGCAGTTTTTGAAACGAGCAGTCGATATTCTTTGTCAGTGCAGACAGACCCTCATGTTTACCTATGTGTTTGCCTACTATCTAAAGAAAACCAATCAGTCTGTGATTTTTGAAGATAACCAAAAAGATCTAGAGAGCGCTACAGAGACGCTGTCGGAATATTTGGAGAGGGATATTACGTCTGAAAACTTAGCCGACATCAAACAGAAAGTTCAAGACAAATACAGGTATGTTCATTTCATTGTAACTTATTTAACACATTTCCACGACTTGATATAAAACATGATTAGATTAAACGGTTTTACCTAGTCATTTATTACATTTACAACATTTGTTGTAGTATTAAATTAAAAGTGACACGTTTTGAACCCGAGCATTGTTGCACGGGTATTTAAGGAATATTGGAGATCTAATGCAGCCCTCTGAAATTTCTGTATGCGTTGAGAGATGACTTAACGTTTTGAGATTCCACTATTAATATCTTCAATTCATCTTCAGGTTAATGTACTATTGACCTAAGGTGTAGTTAAACAGTGGGCTTCATGAAAACAACGAAAAACTGATGCGAACCGATTTCTTTCAGATATTGCGACGGTCGCCGGAAAGTGTTACTGGAACATGTCCATGAAGGTTATGAATCTGATTGGTGGAGCTACAATGAATAAAGTCTAGTCCTCTGATAACCTAGCCGTAGTTACCTCAAATGCCGTATTGTACTTATGACTTTGTATTATTTACGGTATTTCTCCATAATTTTACAGTATCTTTGTTGCGACTGAATACTTAAAAAAAATAATTGAGATGACGATGAACACCTACCAAAATTGGATAAATTCTAATTGTTATTCGCTGGCAGGACCGGGAGAAAAGTTCGTATAATTTTAATCACTACAATTTGTTCGAAAGCAATCAACCCCAAATCCCCACTCCTATTAATTATTAATATTATTAGTTTATGTTAAAAAAAAATGAAGAATGAAATAATTGAAGAAAAAAAAGTTGATGATTTTAATATATACTATTAATTTGAGAAAATGCTTACAAAATAAAAAGTAATAAATAAATTAATAACAAATGAAATTTGTCTGTTGAAAGAAAGGAAAACTCACTGTTGTTGTTGATAATTATTTTGTTTTCTACGAGAAATTTATAATGCGAGAGTAATAATATCAATCAGGGAAGCGACGTGATTTTACATAGTTAACTGAGCAGTTTTAGTGTGTTTCTTGCATTCTTGTAGAAGCAAAATGTTAAGTGAGCATATGAAAAGCGTTTGTTAGTCATAGAACTAATCTGTAAATAATTCATAAGTTTATCATGTTGCTATACCAAATATAGTATTTGTTTAAATAATTAGATTAAGTGATTATGATTAATTTAACAAAGGAAATTATTTTTCATCCCTAAGCGATATATATATATATACATGAAATAAATTAAATATATTATATGTTATGCATATACAAAAAAAAAGAAGAAAATAATATAACTAGATCAAATATTGAAAATAATTTAAAGCCGAGCTTCAGCAATAATTGCAATGTAAATAAGAGTGACTAAATATAGTATGGTTGTATATAAGGAGACGGAGACGGAGTTATATGTAAATAGGATGATGTATGATAAATTGTAATGATTATAACTAGAATGGCTGGCCCCTCAGACTCAGAGTGTGTAAAAATGTGATAATACAAACGGCGTTAAATTGATTGATTTATATTTTATTATGATATTC